CACACACACACCATGCATCACACAAGCAAAGGAAGGTTAGACTGGAGCAGTGGATGAAGGAGACAAGGCTCAAAAACGTAACTGCGGCCTTTGTGCTCTTGTGTGCAAGTCAGGACATGCTTTCCTGTCCATCATTTTAGAGGCCGTCCAGTAACTACCCAACTTTTTTCACCAAACAAATTATTTGAGTTTAGACCCAACGCCGGCAATGTACATGTATCAATGTTTTCTGAAACGAAATTGGTCAACCCCCTCCCACCCCATAACGAGAAATTATTTCGTTTTGGGGAAAAGTTCAAAATTTATGGACGACTCCTTACACGAAAAAGGTAGACCAGGGTTAGACCAAGATTAGACCATGGCTCGAAGTCACGGCTAAGTGAAATGTTTCAAGCCAGTGCTAGAGAAAAACATCGGTTCTTTGTTGGGAAGTACTGTGTCCTCCGACCAGCTGTCTCTCTCTCTCTCTCTCTCTCTCTCTCTCTCTCTCTCTCTCTCTCTCTCTCTCTCTCTCTCTCTCTCTCTCTCTCTCTCTCTCTCTCTCTCTCTCTCTCTTCTCTCTCTCGCTCTCTCTCTCTCTCTCTCTCTCTCTCTCTCTCTCTCTCTCTCTCTCTCTCTCTCTCTCTCTCTCTCTCTCTCTCTCTCTCTCCCTCTCTCTCTCTCCCTCTCCCTCACACACACACACACTACACTTACCTAGAGCTTTGAACAGTACTGCCGCCGCAGCTAGTGTGGCATGGCCGCAGAGATTCACCTCACAGGTGGGTGTCAGCCAACGTAGCTTGAAGTGCCTGATGGAAAGAGTCAATAGCACAAGAAAAACAAACCAATTATATTGAGCCTGAAATGTAGATGCTACATCCACTTGCTGCATGGATAAAACATTTTTATCCCTGCACCATTCATTAGAATTACTAAGTTCCGAATGTATGACACCAAAACACATAACCTCACTGTTTGCGGCCAGTAGCAAACAACACAAGCGTACACCAATAAACTCTGGTATGTACCAAGAGAAAAGTGGGTTGGTCCTCAGTCACGTCATACGGCACTGTCGGGTACCGAAGAAGAGAGCGCCGAAGAACAAACAGGCTGGGGTTTCACCCGGTACAGCATATCTATACATACACGGTGACTCAACCATGCATAGACTGTAGTACAGGAACCTAAGAACGGCCTAAGTTACGAGGCTGCCCCCCCCCCCCCCTAGTTTTCGGCACCCAACAGTGTACTGTACTGTAGGTCATATGACGTGATCGGTTTTACGGGGAATTTGGCCACATGACACCATTGGGTATAGGTGGAATTCGTCACATGACATGATTGAATTTACAAGGAAATTTGAAATTTGTACTTGTAACATGATACCACTGGTTTAAGGGGGAAGTTGTCATATGACATGGTTTTGGGGGAAACGTGTCGCACGACATGATTGAATTTACAAGGAAATTCGAAATTTGCCACATGGCATAACACTCATCGCACGTGCGTGTTCTGTGACACGGTGACCTCAAGTGTGAGTTTTGAAAGAAAACAACAACAAAACAGTACATCACCAGCCAGCCTGGTTCAAGACCATGTCAATGTATGCTTGATCACCTTCCCCTGCTCTAGCCATAAAAAGAACAACCGGGTTCACAGATCTTGTACGGATTTCCATATACGGAACGAAAAGAGGTGACAAATTGCCCATACACGGATGAAACACGTACAAAAGGCAGTACAGGAACATCTGACGTGACCTGGATCACTTCCTTGTATGGTGGTGCACTTTTGACCATCACCTGATGGCCTATTTTACTTGCGCTGGATAACCTTTTCTGTTACAGTCGACCTACCCTTATAACGATATTTGCGCCACACCAAGAAATATTGTTATAAGGGTAATATTGTTATAGGGGTAACTGGTTCATTTCATACACATACGTCATAATGCATGGATTTTGTTCATTTATTACACTCTTCACAGCATAAAAAACTGACATACATGCACATTATGTGCACAGCAAGGTGCCCACTGGTGCCCCATTGCATTTCGTCATGTCCCAACGACTTATCAAGTGAAGCTTGCCCTACCTGGATAGTAGGCTCTACATATTCCCTGCTAGATATTGTTATAAAATGGAAAATGTCGATTGGTCAGCCCATTTATATCGTTATAGGGGTAATATCGTTGTAGCAATATTGTTATAGAGGTAAGGCATTGTATGCACTAGTCAATGGAGTGATTTGGTTTGGCAGAAAAATATCGTTATAAGGGTAATATCGTTATAGAGGTTATCGTTATAAGGGTAGGTCGACTGTATCTGCGTATCCAGTGGCACACTAGGAAACTCTGTTGAACACTTGAACTGATTCTGACCAATCGTTCCAAAAATGGTGACATCATCTCTGCGTCGGTGTTGAAAATACTGCTCCGAACATATAAAAATGTGTGGGACTTGTGCCGATAATTCGAAGTCAGCAAAGCAAAATTCCAAGTTCACTGTACATTATGAAAAGTCAGCTCAGTGTGCATGAGCAGGCTGTACTGGCCAGTTCAGTGTCCGTGAAATCTGTGTCTAAGATGCACAGCGCAACTCTGGGTGACAATGCGAGCATTTTGATAAACATATCGTGTTGCGGGCACATCACTACGTGTTTGGATACTTACAGAATGCCCGGATAACTAGAATTTTTTTGCATTTTGCATTTTGGGGTTCGAATTATCAGGATTCCACCTGTACAATATACTCCGGGGGTTATGTACTCTTGATAGTTGATACTACAAGGACATTGTACATGTACCTTCTGCCACTACCATGTGTGTAGTAGACCAGCAAGGCGGGCAGTCGGGCACCCTGCAACCAGCCAGACGAGGCTTCGCTAAATATGGGCACGACCAAATATAGATATCCCACCTGCTAGCCCATATATGGGCCATACACGTGGGAGTGTTTCAAATAAGGCACACAACAAACAGACCAGGCTAGGCTGCACCATGCGCCAGGGCACTTACAACGTGGACAGCTTCTTACAGCTCCATGTACATAGCAAGTCAGCTACACAATAGCCATTAGGCTGTCCCCTTGGAAAAATTCGATTCCGCGGCCGCGGCAAATTTCGCAGAAATAATTGCCATCATCCGCGGAAATCACGGAATCCACACTTTTGCCCGCGGAATCTGACTTTTTTAGGGTAATTTAGTAAAAATACTACTCAGAAAGCAGCAGAAAAACTACTTTGCGATCTGTTTGAGCACATTGCTCTTGCCAGTGTAGGTGAGTGCAGATCTCTCCAAGATTCTTCACTCTCATTCAGTTTGTGACTGCAAAGGATAGTGTGAAAAGTGCTCCTTCGTGCAACTAGTTGTCATATCCTCTACAAGGAGGGTGAAAAACTTGCAGAAAGTGCCGCAGATTTTTGATTTTACCGCAGAAAATGCCGCAGAAAAACCCCTGTTCCCCACGGAACTTGCCGCGGAATTTTGAATTCTTGGCCGCTTTTTTCCAAAGGGACAGATTAGGAAGCTTCCACTGCTCACACAGCGCCCAATAGTTTGAAATGTTGCCTGAGGACTGCAGCGCATGAAACTTCAAGTTGCAGCTGAACCTCGTCTTGACTTCTATGTGAGCTAGCTATGCATATATGGGTGGGCGCATATCTCAGTTTGCACAACGTGAGAGGATGTGCCCTAAACCCCTACAGATTTAGCTTCGCTCGCCTTGATGTTTTACTGCAAAATGTTGCTTCAAAATCATCGATGTTTTGCTGAGCCTAGCACTAGAAACCCGATATTTTGCTCCGCTTTTTCAATTCTTCGACGTTTTCTTGAAAGAATTGCCAGCAATGATTATGTCTATCTGGGCTTAGTGTGCGCCTATAGGACCTCGCTGTGTGCGCCCGAGATGCATGGCCCGAAAAGGCTGGCACTGCCAAGTGCGGTCCACACCGCATATACATGTGATTACTTCACCATGTGGTACTTCTGAAGTACAGTAAAACCTGTCAAGGCGACCACCTGTCCTAGAAGACCACTGGAACCAGGACCAAGGGATGCTATTTCCAGTCAATTGACCCTGGATAAGGAGACCACCTGGTAACAGAGACCACATTTTGAAGGTCCCTTGAGCAGTTGTCTTAGACAGGTTTCTCTGTACATGCAACCAACCAAGTCAAGAAAGAGTGATGACGATAAAGGCCGTGGGTCCCTTGCTCTGCCCAACGTACTACACCAGGTGACATCATACACCATTGGCAAAGCTTGGGAACAGAAGATTATCTAGCCAAATCATCAGTGCAAACTGAGTTAATCCATAACCTATTTGCTATTTTAATTCTATACAGTATTTCTATTTGCTATCACTACATTTTTTTACATTTTTTGAACGAAATTTCATAAAGTGAGAAAGCACTCACCGCGAACTACGGAAATCATCAGCTGCATTAAGCCGTTCAATGAACGCTGTCTCAGACAAATTCATCTCCCGTGCAATTGGCTGCATTAAGTGCTCGGGGAACTAACGAGAACATAGAGACAGAACAAACAACAGAACCCAACGGCACGGATTATTATTATTCTCTCTTCTTTTCTCTTGGTTGTGGTTTCTTTCCGACCGGCTGAATAAACACAGCCTGTACGCTTTAAAAAAAATGTTTTAATCATTACTGGTGCAAGTCAACGTATGATATTAGAGAGAATAAGGGCGTGTTGGCATGGCACAAACTAGAACATGATCCACCAGGACAGCGCGTTCGGTCGGGACTGCACCTGTTCTGGATCGGCCAGAACATGTTCCGATCCAGAACATGTTCTGCTGGCTCAGGCATCGAGACCGGAGCAGCCAGCGCAGCTCAATTTTTCACGGTGAAACCTGGCGAGAGCATCGACTTCCGTCCAAAATGATCACGTGCATGCGCATTAGGGTTGCATATGGTATGCACTCGCTGCAACATTCGACGCGTCCATGGAGATGTGTAGCATACATTATGTTGACAAATGCAACCGCAAACCCAGACCTATCAACACTGGGCTATGCACCTGATTACGTATCATGCTCCAGGTATGGGGAACAGCCAAGGCGATTATCAGTCTCGATACTTAAAGTCAGTCACCACAGAGTGGACACTGGACAATGGAAATAGAGGCGTTTCACCGTCTGGGGAATTCCTGCAGCTGTCAGTGGATCTGCTTGCGCGGCCCGTCACAACGCTCAGCTCCCACACTATGCGCCTTGGAAATGGGACCCTTTGCAGTAACCATCTACATGTATGCGTTCAGCTCGCAGTCCTAGCCTGTGGGAAGATGCACAATATTATGCCCCCCCCCCCGTTCAACCTAGTCGGTCATGTCTGCATACTGTTCAATGAGAATAGGTAGCTTGCCTCCTGCAGCTGCTGATCACACCAACTGAGCCTCAGCAGTCCTGGTACCCAGCCCTTCTGGGCAAGTTCACCGATGTGCCAGTGCAAATTCCGGCCAACCTAATAGATAGGGGTGAAACGAGTATCTATTTTGACCAATCGATCACTCGTTCATAATATTCGATCGAGTATCCGATTATTTCGAGTATTTTATCAAAATTCAAAAGCGCTAGATTTGCAAGTTCTCGACCAATTCGGAAGAAATCATCTATGAACATAGAACAAAAGTCGCCAACGTCTTGTACAGAGTGTAAAGTAACGATTTTCATCAGTACTTTCATATCTCAGAACGTTACATGCCGTGGTGATCGCATCGTCCAAGCCTTAAAAAATACTGACTCAAAGCCATGCATAACGCATGCATACCAGTGGACCAGCGGTACAACAAAAGTTTTAAAAAAATACAATGCCAATACTAAAAAAAAAAAAACAAAAAAAAACGATCGAGTGCAAAATTTCGAATACTCGCTCGTTTGAAATTTTCGAACGAATACTCGAATATTCGAACTAATCGTTTCACCCCTACTAATAGATCCAACCGGTAGCTGCCATCCACTGAGTACCCACCCGTCTTAGTCTAGCCGCATGGCCGATCCCGGGCTTTCTCTCCGGCAGTAAGACCTGCCAACACTGGGCCGTGCACGCGTACAGGGTACTGACGGATTTATGAACCCTGACTTTGTTGAGCCGAATTGTCGCACACATACCGCACACGCACGAATAGAGCCCCATTTGCTGGAGGGAATCGAGATAATGAAGCCCTTCTAGAAACATTATAATACTCCAGCACGAAAATTTCGAAAAATAAAGTGGTGTTGAGCATGCAAGCAAGTGCACAACAAACAGTTTATGCAGCTCACAGTTCGTAGACTAAACTGCAGGAGGTGCGAATGTGCACACACACACACACTCTCTCGCACACACACACACACACACACACACGCCACCACCACCATGCATACGCCCGTCACAAGAGAAGCACGCAGAGCAGGTATCAAGGTGTGTACGCTTGTAGTACTGAGACTTGCCCCGCAAAACTTAATGGCGAGAAAGTGATACATACTTCCCAGTACAGGAGTTCTCCTCGTCTATGGTTTGTACCCAGTGAATACACAGGATTTATCCTATGAATGTTAGTTATTCTAAAGTGAAAGTTTACTACACTACATGACGTGAGTTCTCGCCATCGGTGGACCCCATAGCAAACCCACGCATAGTTGCACACTCTTGGGGGGGGGGGGGGGTATATACTCTTGCTGCTACAGTAGCGTGTCAGTTATCCGACATCCGGCACTGACTTTCACTGGCAAGAGCAATGTGCTCGAACCGATCCCAGAGTAGTTTTTCTGCTGCTTTCTAAATAGTAATTTCACTAATTTAGCTGCAAAATTCAGATTCCGCAGGCAAATCTGTGGATTCCGTGATTTCCACAGATGATGGCAATTTCTGTGAAAATTGCCGCGGCCGCGGAATCGAGTTTTTCCAAGGGGACAGATGAGTAATGTCTGCATCTGGCATCCCTTATACTCTTTATAGCTATAAAGTCTAGCCTATTACTAGTAATGCACAAACTTCAATCCACCAATTTTTATGCTCTAAAATAAAACTGCTCAAGAGCCCTTGTTTTAAAATTTGTGCGATATGGGGTCTTGGTCACTCTCCAACCAGTGAAGAGCCTGAGTTTCGAGACCGGTCTGGGCGCGAGTCTCGCCTGCTTATGTCTCGTGAAAAGCTTTCGTGACGACGAATCCGACATGCCTGACTGGTTTACAAGAAACGATAATTATGGCAGACTGAGATCTACGCCGCTCATCCTCAGAATGCTGTGTGCAAGTGTGTGCATTTCGATATCAGTTGCAGCAAGAGTCCATAACCCCCAGAGTGTGCAACGCCACACAAATCTCTGTCACGGCTCGTTTTCAACATTACGTCGTTTTTCATGTAGCTGCGCGTGCAGGCCGGCCGCGACATTCGCTACATGAAAATGAGGTAATGTTGAAAACGAGTCGTGACAAGACCCTATAGCGTGTAAACCTCTCTAAACACAGTTAAGTTAGTGACTAAACCTCTCTGATCCAGTGCACAGTTTTACAGAATGACTGAGCTCATAATTTAATCATACAGCATGTGCTGGCATGCAGACTTGCAGGTCTTGCATTTTTTCGTTAAATGTGGCATGCATTTTGTAATTGCTCACACTGACCTCCCATGACAGAAGGCAAACAGCAGCTGGGTTTCCCGAAAACGGCGTGTCTGTGAACGAGTCCACAGTGAACATTGGCAACGAGCAACTGTCCGACATGTTCAAGCAATCAGCAACTGAAAATCAATGACCAATATATTCTGCCTAAAAGTTATTCCAAAAACTTGTATCACATGTATCATCTGATAGCCGATAGGCGTACTTTTGTGAGTTTGTGCTACAAAATCACAAACGTTTCAGAAAAGGGTCAGGGCGTACATTGTAACTTGAACTACCGGAATTTCGGTAGCCAAATGATCAAAAATGAAGGCAGGGAGATGGTTTTACATGATGTAGTATTCGAGCTTCTTGAAGGTAAAAGAGTAGTCTTTTTCAAATCTATCGCGAGTTGTAAAAAAATTGCAGGGTGTCACAGACCACGTTACTATTACCAAGAGTACATAACCATAATAGCAAGAGTACATATTATGTACTCTTGCTATTAGTACCAAGACAAGAAGAGAAGGCAAGAGTACATAACCATGATAACCCCGGGTTATGTACTTGGCACAAGTGGCAGTGAAGTGCTGATGGTGCAGCTGGATCATCATCGTAGATCTACGATCAAGATTCCATAAACAGTTTTGTTTATGCACTCTTGCTACGATCGATCGGGTACGCGGATAGACTACGACACAGAGTAGATTGTACACGTACTGTACACACACCCCGAGTTGAGGCATGCAAGAGTGTCGTCGATTCTACATTTTGTACACATCGCCCATCTAGTCGTCACTCGTACTCGCGTACTCGATCGACAAGCGAATGCACCATGTGCACAGACATGTGCACTGCACACACACAAGATCAAGATTCAAGACAAGAGAAGTAAAGAGACTCTGCACATACAGTCAGCAGCTGCTGGTCAGTGCCCATACTTTTTTGTGTGTTGCTGCCGCATGCTATTTTCCTCGGTCAGGGCCGCGCCAAGCATGCACAGCATGCAGGCACCAGTTACAACTCGTACACAAACACAACAGGCATGCACGAACCGTGTACGTGTAGATTCTACCACACTCGTACTCCCACTGTACAGTACTGGCACTACACAAATACAACAGTTTGATTCCACTCATTATTATTGTCACTTTGGCAAAGTATCGCACTGTAGTTTCTCGAGTTCATTGCGCGTTGTTTTGGATTTAGTTTTTTTCCTTTCATGTCACCTGAGACAGGTAACTATCTGATGCTGCGTGAATACTGGGAGCTTCTGTCTTTGTCGTCCCCGCGTGGACTGGCGTATTGGAAACTTGTACTGGACACAATTCATCCACGTAGAATTTTCAGATTGTGAGAATAAGCAGTTAGTAGTTCAATAGTAGCAGTTAGCAGTTCAATGGTTCCGTTGGTGAGGAGAAATGAAGCATCCCGGTGCCAAGATGGTGATAGTTAAAGCTTTCTCCAGTAGAACTCGTATATCTTTCTCCTTAGCTTTGTTAGTTTGCTTGGCACTGTTATCAGTAGTACCTAGCTGTGGAAATGCTGCAACTAAGAAAGGTGAGTTGTCAAGGAGAATTTTGGTTGGTGTTGGATTCATCGACTTCTCAGCTTGTCAGGATTTCTCTGTATGATCTGGGTATTTTCTGTACTCCATGTTGCCCTGTATGTATACTGTTGTTTGTTGAATGCTCACTCAGCTTCTCAGCAGAAATTAGGAATTAAAAATGACGATGGCAGTGCCGAACAAGTTCTCGTGGTGAGCAGGACGTTTGAATGTTTGATATGCTTGTTTTGGTAGCGGAGTTGTGTGTTGTCTGTCCCAGTGACTCTTGTTCCTCCCTTTGGCTTTGAAATCCTTGGGAATAGCGATGGCAGTGTGCGTTCATTGAAACCTGATTGTATTAATTTTTGCGTGTGGAACCGAATAATGCAGTGTCGTAGATTCATTTGCCTCTATCGTGTTCTGGTCTGCCGCTTTCGTTGGCTATGTTCTTCAAGTTAGTTTCTTTCAAGCAACGCGTTTGTTTCCTGGAGCAATGATTCTTAGATCTCACTTTGCTTTCCTTGTGTTGTGCCTGTTCAATCATTTTACCACAGGCTGTTACCGCTCCGTCGAGGTCCACTGGTTCTGCAGATGGGCTGGAAAGGTAAAGTTTCATCTCCGCCCGTCCCCTCTCTCTCTCCCCTTCAATTGTTCAAGTGCTGTACTGTATTGTGGTGAAAAATCGCTCTCTGACTCACTCACGAATGGACACACAGCCACGTTTCTGCTGTGACACACGCGATGATGCGGCCTGTCACTTCACCTGCCTAGTGGAGGCTATTCCCGCTAGTTTTCTGCTAGTTTTCTGCGTCTCCCGGTCTAACTCGATGGTGTGGAGAGGTATGTACATAATCACTGTAGCCAGTGTAGGGCAGCTGCGCGGCGTCTCTCTTCTGCGAATGTGGAGACTCTCTTCCATTTCGTGAGAAGCCCTGGTGGTGCGTGCACGTGCTTGTGGAGACTTCCTCGCTTTTCCTGGCCGACATGCTAGCTAGTTTCCTGCGAAGCAGCTAAGCTGGGTGCGACTGCCAGCGCTCTATCACTAGTATCAGTGTATGCAGGCAGCGAATATCCGTGTTGGCAGAGAAACACCTTTTTAGCCAGCCAAACTCACTCACTGAGCCAGCCAAGCACTGATATGACTTGCCAGGATATCAGCTGAGACGTTGCGCTGCAGATTGCTTGGTCCATTGGTGTTCTACTTGTACTTGAAATTTGACAAGTTATTTTGCTGAGCATGCCAACTGTAAAACGTAATCCTGACATGGACTGCCCAGTTTGTCGTGTTGACGTCCAAAGGCATGTCTGGTTGGGCAGTGTGGGCGTAGGCTAGGTACCTGCAGTGCTAAAATGCCATCTTCTGGAATTCAGCAGCTGAATGCTGCACACACCCCACACATCATTGGCGAAAATGAATGCTGTCTAGAACTACTACTAGTAATATGGAGCTGGCATTATTGTACTACTGTACTGGTGGATCTGTTTTTGTGGGTAAAGCTGGCCAATGGCCAACATGTAACTCAACCCTGACTTCTGTCCTGCTGCTGGGCATTGTTGTAACCCTGCTGTGATGGCCTAGGAGAAAGAGAGAGAGAGAGAGTGTGTGTGTGTGTGTGTGTGTGTGTGTGTGTGTGTGTGTGTGTGTATGTGTGTTTGTTGGTCATCAAACAGCTCCACTGACTGGCAGAGCAAACAATATTCGCCGCACGAAAGAGTAATTGCCCAAGTCACTTACACTCACAGTTCAACAATAAGTGGATTACAGTACTGTGGGTTGCTGGAGAACTGGGGAGGGGGGTCAGCCACCTAGCCTAGACCGTTTTTATTTTCATGTATTACACTCTATGCCCAGTTGGGGAACAGTGTATACATTGGTACACTGTGCTTGATGAAATTCTAGCCTGGTCGTTTCTTCGGCGCTCCCCGACAGTACTGTAGTGTGATTCTGCAGCCAGTGCAGGCACTCCCAATGTATGACTACTGGTAAAGAAGGCACGACCAGTTTTTTCTTCTTTCTATGTTGACTCTAAGTACTGACTGCACGATGAGCTACTATGAGGAAGACAGTCCACACCCATAGCCGCTATATCCAGCAGGATGGAGTTTTTTCCCTACAAAATCCACGTATCTCCAGACACTGGGGTGAATAATGGAGTGAGGTGGTGGGGCCCATTAAGCTCCGCCGACCAGAGGTCTCGGCGTCATAGCTCGATGGAGTGCCAGTGCAATGGGTTGGAGCAACGAAGCTCAGCTGACCTCAGGTCTCTGTACGGTAGAGTAGTTCATTACCCCACACATGGGTTGCAGGCTCACCGCAGCCTTCTTTGCTATGGAGTCCAGTACTGGCATCATCGAGCAACTTCAGAGTTGTGATCCAACGTCGAGCACGTCTCGGTGTGCGCTTCACAACTCCTCTGTTTGGCTTGGCTTGTTCTGGCCGAATCTGAATACACCACCCTATAGGACTAAAGTGTAGGCTGAAAGCACATGTTTCTTGCCAGTGGCCACGATTCAGCCCGATTCAAACGTGGAAATTGTCATCGGAATAGGCTCGCTGTGACTTCCGTACAGTCCAGGTTTCTCCTTGAATGGATACTCTCGTCTAGACAAACGAATGCTGCTCCACAGTGCTGCTGTTATCTTGATCGGCCTCGAAATGCCAAACTAGGAGTGGTCCCGATGTTCGGTTGTGTGTGGGCAAGGCTATCTCTGACCACATGCTGCTGGTGTACCTTACTGCACGCATAGCGTTGTCTACCACCAGTAGTAATCTGTTGTCATGCAGTATGGTGTGTTATGTTGTTGGACGTATTGCAAACTGAATTCTGGTGTACGGCCCTGCAAGAAAACTCTGTGGGCCAGCTTCCGCGCTGTGCATTTCTCCCCATGGTCGGCAGACTAACGACGTTACGCATAGCTCAAACTGCTGCACTCTTGCAATCGTTGTACATGCACAGTATAATTCACGCGCGCCTATGTGCACAGTCTGTGTTTTTTTGTACACGTCCATCTGTACATAGACGTAGCGTAGCCACATGCCTATTTGCTTCACCGACACCTCATCTACATTTAGAATCAGGTCATTGTTCGATGAACAGCTGTCCTGCGCTGTGTCGTGCGAATATTTGCTTCCATTGTTTTGCAAGCCTAAGAGTAGCTCATTCCCACGGGTTGTTTCCGTGCATCCCCGGGCATGTGTTTTGGACTGTGCGTTATATATGTGTGTGTCGGCGTGTGTTTATCATTTCTGTGTGTGTGTGTGACACTGTGTGTGTGTGTGTGTCGTGCTTGCTTGGCTGACAGGATGTGTCATCAGGTCCTTCCTGTAGTCTCAGTTGCCTCCTGTGCACAGTTGACCAGGAAATGCTTCAGCTGTCTAGCGCGCGTGCGTGTGTGGGGTTTTTTTTTTATTTTTATTTTTTACTGAATACCACAGTACCATCAGATGCTGCACGGCGGGGGCGGTGGCATTTTGGATGGAAGTGTGTGTGTGTGTGTGTGTGTGTGTGTGTGTGTGTGTGCTGGCAATGCATTGTAGCAGCAGCAGTTCAGTGCAGGGTAGGATGAGTAGGGTGAACTCTTTTTGTTACAATGCATGCTTGTGCATACTGATTGTGAAGCTGTCGACGAAGTACATGTACAGTCATTTGCTAATAACGACTGCGGATGTAACGACAATTCGCGAATAACGACAGAATTCCCATGCCCAGAGCAAAGTCCCATCCAACTGTAATACATATAATGAGACTTCGGGTACAAGGACACTTCGCGAATAACGACCCTTTTCTGATGCCCCGCCGAGTGTCGTTATACGCAAAGTTGACTACTACTATTCACACCTCTGAAAGTACAGAACATTCCGTGTACTTTTTACTTTTTATTTATTCATTTTTTATACCCTAGATTGCCGTATGAGTTTATAAAATCATCAGTGTCGCATCATGCTGATGAGGCTCATCCTCTCCAACCTATTATTTTGTCCGCATGACTGGCTTCGGAGGCTCGGAGTACCAAGTATTTTTTGGATTGGATTGGATTGGATTTTTATTTATAGTGGTGACTATAACAGACAATTGCCTAATAACAATAGACCCACTCGAGGGAAAGATGCAAAAAGATATGAATAATTAATATAATAATAGACTACCGGTATTGGATAGGTGATCATGTTCGCATTTTGCATAGCTGAAAGTCATAATTACTAGCGTGAAAAAGCAAGGCATTGGGGTAACAGTTTCTTAAAACGGGCGGAGTTATCCACACAGCGAGCTAGAGGGTGCAAATCATTCCACAGCTTAGCACATTGGAAGGAAGCGCCATGACGGGCAAAGGCAGTTCTGAGCATGGGCAACTTAAGAGTGCGTGATACAAGGCTGCGCGTTGCAAGACCATTATTTAAACGCTCGAACATTTGACTTAATGTGACACTACAGCGGCCTTCCAAACAGCGCCACGTCAGATACAGTAATTTCTTGCAATACATGGTTGCCAAACGATCTAGACCAAGTCTCGCAAATAAAGGGCTTGATGGGCTACAAAAACCAGTATCGTACACTGAACGCAAAGCTCGCTTTAGCATTCGTTCAAGCCTACCTAACTGGGTTAAGGAAAGGCCAGCAGAAAAACAATTTGATGCATATAGAAAATCTGGCAACACTAGGCACTTTACGAAGGTTTCTCGGCAAGTCAGCGGAATATTGTGTCGATTTCGGAACAGAATACCAATTTTACTGGCTAGTTTGGAGACCATAGAATCAACTTGAGTGCTCCAAGAAAGATCCTGGTCCAAATGTATTCCAAGGTACTTTGCACATGTCACTTGCTTGAGCTGCACTCCATGGCAGTAGACTGCAAATTGGTGGTCAGTAATATGTGGCGTAGACAGGAAGAGCACTTGTGTCTTCCGAGCATTTAGAATTAAATTGCGGTTTGACAGCCAGGTACTAATGGCTGAGACAGCTGCAGACAGGGAGTTGCTAAGCGCATTCTTCTGCGTACCGCAAACATACAATAGAATATCGTCAGCAAATTGAATAACTTTCACACAAAACTCGGAGACAATGGACTGGATCGAACGAACATAGAGTACAAAAAGCAGCGGACCAAGAACAGAGCCCTGGGGAACGCCACACATGCAGGGGAAAGGAGGGCTATAGTTCTCAGCAATGTGCACTATTTGGCGACGATTGGACAAATAGTCGGCAAACCAAACTAATGCTGAACCAGATATGCCAAGCTCAAACAAATCATTAATGAGCACTTGGTGCCTGACCTTGTCAAATGCTTTGGACATATCCACGAGCACAGCACCAGTAATTTGTCCGGCATCGCGAGCGCGAACAAACGTGTCCGTGACGAAAACTAGAGCGTCTTCCGTTGAATGTTGACGTCTAAAGCCAAACTGACAGGGAGGGTACAAATTCTCCTTGTCCAGAAATGAGGATAGTTGTCTATGGACAATTCGTTCTAACAGCTTCGACACAATTGGCAGGAGAGACACAGGGCGATAATTTCCCGGATCTTGAGGATTTCCAGCCTTGAATACCGGCGTGACATGTGCTAACTTCATGCCGTCCGGCACAGAACCAACAGCAAGAGATGCATTAAATATCAATGTTAAGGAGGGAGCTAGCAAATCAGCGCAGGACTTCAGAAGAAATGCGGGTATTCCATCACTGCCTGTCGCTTTGCTGGTGTCCAAGGAACCCAACAGTTTACGCACACAACCTATTGACACCGAACTGAAGGATGTAAAACCTTTAGGTCCCACTGGGCCCTGTGGAAGACACAGTTCAGGTGCTCGTTGTTGATCACTGACAACATCAGCAAATACACACCCAATGTTGCTTGCAGAGCATTGTGGAACGGATTGAACACGTTGTCTTCCGGATAACTCGTTCAAAACCTTCCACGTTTTCCTGGGATTACCTTGAACACTGGTGAACTTAGACTGAAAAAAATTCGTCTTCAATTCACGGTTCATACGAGTCACGATACGCCTGGCTTCTTTAAACGCATCGTAATCAGTCTGGCACTTAGATTGCAGCCATTTCCGATGAGCGTGGTTACGTCGTCGTATCAACAGGAACAAATGTTCATTGACCCATGGTGAATGCTGTCTTGGTCGGGAAGACGCGTGGCGCAATGGAGCATGTGCATCAAGAATGGGCACAACCTTAGTCAGCCACTGTTGCCACATGTCATCGCAGGACCCACGAAGTTCACAGAGGTTGGCGCAAGATATATCCATACGAAGTGATGCCAAGTCCATTCTCTTGAAGTTTCGATAAAGTCGCTGAGAAGGCAATGCTGTCGGCACTGGTTTAACACAAATCTTGGTTGCAATAGCACAGTGGTCGCTGAACGGAACTGGACACACATCAGGCGGGGATATGATTTGAGCTGTACTATAGACATGATCTAATAGAGTGCAGCTCCCTTGCAGCGTTATGCGTGTTGGAGATTTTACAAGTTGATGCAGGCCTAAGCTGGTTGTGATGTCATGCAAGGAAGCATGCTGGGATGTGGGAGATTGACTGACCAGATCAACATTAAAGTCACCACAAAGCAGAATATTCTTGGCTTCTCCCGATGCCTTGTGTAACATGGCCTCGAAAGTCTGCCAGTAAGCTAGTGACTGACTCGGTGGGCGGTAAATACACCCGACAAGAAGAGGTTGTGGGTGAGCTTTGATCTCTACCCAAATGCATTCAACGCCATCGGCTGTTAAGTCGGGACGTAGGTGACTAAACAGTGAGTTATTAACATACAAACATACACCACCTCCGGGTTTGTCGCGCCTGTCAAGCCGAAATAAAGTATAGTTTGCGATTGACATCTCCATCGACGGAACGGAGTTGTTAAGCCACGTTTCACAAACAGCAGCAATGTCAGTTTTTGTGTCCGATATCAATTGGGACAAGTCAGTAAGTTTATTACGTAGACTGCAAATATTCAGGGACAGTGTCCGTATACATCCAGGGTAGAACGGGGTTGCGCCTGGGTTCATTTTACTACTACTAGCCATGGTTAATCTTCAGTACTTTGTTCCTTCGTCGGCATGGACGCCTCGTCATGGAAGCGCCACTTTCTGACTGTGTGGCCGATGGTGGCAGGCCAAAACGCAGGCGTGAGTACGGTGTTGATGACATCAGCCGGAATGGTAACTTTTGCGTATGCTGTGCCGAAATAACGATTTGTGGCAATTGAACAGCGGATGATGTCAATGTTACGATCTGCACAGTACCTGACAATAGATTGCGCCTCACAGCCAACTTCAACATTTCCTACATGCAGCACTGCAAGGCGTTTGCGTTCTACTCCACTTAGAACACCTGGGGCTGCTGTTACAGTCACCTCCTTCACATACTTCGATGTGACAGATGAACGTACATGTAGTTCAGTACTGCCAGTAGCACTCGTGCCGGGATGTGAAGATGACCCACCTGATGCACGTGGGCGGTTTGGGCGTCGTGGACCTTGGGTTTGCCAGGACGAGTTCGAATCTTCAGTGCTGCCAGTACTCATACGAGCGGGTTTGTCGGTTTGCTTGGTCTGCTGGGTGTCGGTGGCAGTTTGCATAGACTGATGCTGTACATGTTTGTGGGAGTACGGTTTGGGTTCACAGGCTGGGGCTGGAGCAGACTGCGCTACGGTAGCGTACTGACGGTTCCTAACGTTAGCTGTGCTTTGCGTCTTCGCGCCCTCCTGCTGCCCTTCGTTTTTCATCGTTGCAATTTCCTGCTGTATGTGCTCGATGGTGGACTTCATCTCCATGAAACCAGCCATCTTCATAACCATGCCTTCAAGGGCCTTTGTAAAGTTTGCTAGGGAGTCATGCAGTGAAATACAGCTAGCACAACTTACTGGGGCAGAGCTTGCGTTGGTCCCGATTCCATTAGTCCGCAGGATCGCCACAAGTTCTTGTCGGCTCAGCTTCGATTGACCTTCTTGGAGCACCTTCTTGGATCTTGCAAGGTCACGGATATTGTCATATGACATTGTAGCAAGGTCTACTTCTTCATTCTCACTCATGGTCTCACTCATGGTATGCAAAACGACTGAAGATGATCTTGGAAAGCACCGGAAAGGCGGAGCTCAAAAACTTGCATCCGCACTACAGTCAGTAGGAGTCGAAAAATTTATTTCGCTTTGTAGTGGTTGCTAGGGGAGCTTGTGGTCATAAGGGATACTAAATTCTCTCTGCAAATGCTTGTTAGTAGTTGTTGCCAAATCTAAAGTTGACGTATTGTGTTTTCCTTGTGCCTTTCCACCTGACAGGAGTACATCAAAGAAACCTGCCAAGAAATCCACTGGTAGTGCATCGGCATCTCAGCGGGCTGATTCAGATAAAGTCTCGTCTGCACGTAAAAAGAAGAAAAAGAAAAAGACACCATCCGATACTAGCACTCCATCGCCTGTAAAAGAAGGTATATTAGTCCAGCTCCAGCCGAATGGACACGATTTTGGCGAGCGGTAAGAAATCCTAGCTAGAGGCTTGCGCTGTGTGTGTGTGTGTGTGTGTGTGTGTGTGTGTGTGTGTGCGCGCATGTGCGTGGTGCATCTTTGCTCTACGCTTTCCTTTGTGGCCTGGTTTGTTTTTGCAAGTGGCTGGTTTTGTACCGGTTGATGCTTTGCCCTCAGCTCACTCGTTTCGGTCCTGCAGGATTGACTCGCGGCTTTATCATGGCAACTGTATTGAAGAATGAAGACCCAGCCAATGCTATGATATGGTTGAGCGTGTTGTTTGGCTTTGTGCAATTAAGCTGATTCTGTACAATGCCGCCTGTGTGCTGGCTGTTGTGTTGCTCTACACTTACAGGAGTGTAGGGGCATTGCAATTGGTGACTGTAACTGTCATCAATCTCGACGCCAAGACCAGTCTGAACATGAACTCACTGGCGGGCGCGTCGCAGCATTTTTACGCGTCGTCATTTGAAAGCAAGGTCAGTGGGTGCGCGTACAGCTACCGTGTGGCTTCTTAGTAAAGTGATTGGCTTCTCTTCTGTTCCCTGTCTCTTTCTCGTCTCTTTCCCATCAGGCTATATACAGTAGTGTATTGTATGTGTGTGCCTGTCTCATATAGAAGCCTGGTTTTCAAGATACATTGTCGGCACATGAGCCTGGTTTTAGTGTTGGCATACATAGAATTTACCCGTCTCGTATAGAAGCCTGCAAAATGTCCCCAAAAAAGTCATAAGCCGCGGCTTTTATACACGACTTTACGTTATGTATACATGTATGTGCGAACATAGCTTCTATTTTATGACCTGAGCAATATGTATATGACTTGTGTCCACATCAGGTGGTTGCCGCCAAGAATAGAACGACGTTCAGAATAGCATTTCTGCCGCGAGCCATTGGGAGGCTGGAGGCGAATTTTACTCTTCGGACGTCTCTAGGAGATATAGGCTACTCGGTGAGTGACTTGGTGCCAAACATGGCTAATACGTTTTGCCGTTGACCTCTTCTTCTTTTTAGGCATTGCTGCCGCTGCTACTACTAACTTAATGCTCATGCTGCTGTTTGTGCTACTGCTGCTGTTTGTGCTACTGCTGTTTTTGTAAAGTTGTTGTTAATGCCGTTGCTGTTGGTGCTGCTGTTAGTATTGTTTAATTCTTGACTCATTGAAGCCATGCAGTGAACAATTTACGACTCAGGTTATCCCTTAGGCTAGGAAGTGTTCTGCTTGTGTGTCTGTATCCCACTTTTCTTCATCTGGTCCACAAGTCTCTGCTGAGCATGTTCGGGAACGGTCTTAGGGGTTCAGTTTCTTCTATTCATAGTGATTTCACGGGGGGGGGGGGGGGGGGGGCATTTACATGCAGTTGCGTATTATGTGCATTGTGTGCTCTCTCACTCTCATACTACTACTCGCAATAGGAACTGGTACCGGCACTGACTGTTTTCTTCGGTGAATTCCTTCTTCTTTGCTCAGGTGTTAGGCACTGGTGTGGAGAGTCCGTACCAGCTGCGGCCATTTGTTGGCATCCGTGTGCCTGTCAACATCACCTATCAGCCTCTGATTAGCGTGCACAACCCGTATAGCACGGCATTACAGGTAGGCGTTGTGCTATTGGTCGCTGTGCCAGCACTGTTCATCTGCTCATGTTTGCCCGTCTATCGTGGTTGTGGTGGTGGCGTTGGTGCTGCTGCTGCTGCTGCTGCTGCTGCTAATGGTGGTGGCGTTAGTGCTGCTGCTCGTAACGGGGGTGGTGGTGATGCTGATGATGGTGAATTGTTTTCTATGGTCGTGATATTCCGTGGGCTGTTTACGCACGTTGTGCCAATACTTGTACTACCATGTTAGCGGATCATGTACTGCAGCTCCCACCAACTTCTGTGATATGAATTATACAGCAGTGGAACTCTGCTGTCTAAATGCATGTATTGCACATCAGCTACGACAACATAGCGTCAGGAATGTAGTTCACAGTCTAGGCCGTGCTTGATGGCATAATCCTGTTTCCTCACCGAGCGTTCTGTTTCCGATCTCACATTGCCATGGGTGTGTGTGTCTGTTTGTTGCTCGGCGCTTTGCAGGTGATTGAAATATACACAAGTGGAGGGGATTTGCACTTGGAGCTCCCCAGCAACAAGCACAGCCCCACCAGTCAATCCTGGGAGGTGGGCGCTTACGAGACAAAGAACGTGATGCGAGCGCACTACGTTAGCTCGGAGGCGCGCAACTTCACCGGGTACATTCGCCTTCACCTGAAGCATCCGCACTCGCGCAACGAAACCATCGTGCTGCCCGTCGAGGTGGAAGTCACGAATGGTGAGTCGTGCTGGATTGCCCACACTGACAGTGTACATGATTGTGAACAGCTGGGCTGCTCAATGAAACCCGATCACCTGTGTCAAGTCTGCACCCTGCACGAGCTTGCCATCCCAGTCTGCGCAGGTCGAGGGCTGCAAAGAGCCGGAGGTGGCATTGGCTCGCTTGATCGGATTTCATTGAGCAGCACTGCACTTGGCGATGCTGACTTGCTAGTACATGCACTACCAGGCACTCCACTTGGTTCTGGTGAACTATCTGTCGAAATCCGCCTTTACCCATACATTCGCTGTACATGTATCTGCAAGAATTCAAACACTTGGATGCATAGTACGTGTGAGGTTTTTTTGGTTTTTTTTGTTGTCTTTTTACCTCTGAAGCACTCCTTGTCATGGTAATTCTACATCCATTTGCCCCAAGCCTTGCAGTTATAGGTGTGATGCCAGTCTGTTGCCGTCTGTGCTTCCACTGTTATCTATATGCATATGGTATGATGTTTTGCATGTTGTTATGTTGTTATGTCCAGCAACCGGTCTCTTCTGCACTGTGGAAACACTCGACTTTGGCACCGTGCGAAACCTGGATGAGCCACGCAATCTGACATTGTCCCTGCTCAACTCTGGGCCTAATCCTGTGAAAGTCACGGTGAGTTCCTGTGTTGCGCACTGTGCCTCCAGTGTGATATCACTCTTGCTGAATGTGTTTAGCTAGCTCCACTGGGAACGAGTACTGTAAAGTCGCGGATAAAAGCCGGGCTTATAAGCATATAAGCCGCTTTCTGCATCAGGCTTTAATGCAAACCATGCTTATATGCACCACTGATATTTTTGCCAGGCTTGTATGCCATGCTTCTACGCGCGACACGCGTGGATCTACCACTAACTACCAGTATGGCGGCAGTTTTACTATGCACCGTACATAGCGCATGCACTCTTGACCCACCCGATCCGCGCTTGCATAGAAGCCAGGCTTCTACGCGCGACAGGCTTATATGCATTTGACCCGTATGATTTTCAGGCTTCTATCCGCGATGTGCTTGTATGCAAACCCGGCTTTTATCCGCGACTTTACGGTATCTGAAACCCCTCTCTCTCTCTCTATCTATCTATCTCTATCTTTCTATCTCTCTCTCTCTCTCTCTCTCTCTCTCTCTCTCTCTCTCTCTCTCTCTCCCTCTCCCTCTTTCTTTCTCCCTCCCTATCTCTCTCTCTCTCTCTCTGCATGCATGCATGCATACATACATACATACATACATACATCTCTATGTTGCACCTTTCCTCTGATGCTTGCTTTGTGTTTCTTCTGTCTACAGAGTATCATCGCAACTCCTCACCTTCCTGCACTGACTGTTGGTTTCACAGTAAGTTTGGGCCGATCTTCTTCTCTTCTTGCCAAACCAAATGTACTTGAGTAATATTCCGCAAGAAGAGTACCAGTATGTTGTCAGTTTCTAATGAAAGCCTTCACACAACAGCACCAGACTAACAAATGCACGCTACGGCTGTGTAAGCATGACAGTTTTCAACCCGGGTCATGCATTAGGAAAATGGGGACCATTTATTTACATGGACATGCGCTAAGTTTGAAGGAAGTGCATGGGTGGTGATCAAAGTACATTATTGAGTCTTGAGCAATCTATCGTGTGCCTCTTTGCAAGACATTTGAGTGTACTTGCAAGGTTGAAAACTCTCATGTCGACCGTGTCTCATCAGTCGGGTCTCTATGTGTCCGTGTTGTGTTTTCTCTGCACAGCCGGTCATACTCAAGTCCAGACGTCGCTACTCCAAAGTTGCCAGCATCGTCTTTTCAGGTACTGTGGATAGTGTTTGCTCTCTATGTGTGCCAGCGCGCTGTGATTGAATGGCTGTATTCCTGGCAACCGAAATGTGCAAGTTCTCGAGTAGGGCTATCCTACAACTAACTTTGCACCGCAGTGCTGTTTGTTTTGACTGTCATTAGAGAGGTTCCGGGGTACGATTTTCCGTGCCAAAATCCGTATGGGCGCTACGGATTTTTTCCAGGCGTGCTCCATACGATTTTTCGGCACGGAGAATCCGTGAGGACTGGCTTTCATACGAACCATGTTTCGTATGGAGATTTTGCGTCATCGGGTGCAGAAAGATTTTTCGCGTACAAATTTGGTACGAGAAACATCGATTTTTCGCGGGAAGTTTCGATTCCGGTACAAATTTTCAAAATAAAAAGGCATAGCGCGGGAATGTGACGTGTTTGCGATCGTAACCTAGGCAATGACGGCAAACATATAAGTTCCGTACCCCGGAACTTTTCACTGCTCGACAACGACGTATAAAAAATCCGTAGCGCCTCTACGGATTTTGGCACGAAAAATCGTACTCCGGACCTCCCTATTGTCTGTTGGGGAAACTCCTGTGTATGGGAGACAGCTCAAGACGATTTCCTGCATATAGAAGACGTCTAGAGGGCAACGTCTGCATATTATAATGGCAGGCTTTGGCCGGCAACTCACCACTACATGTATATATGGGCAGATGTTGTGCCCATGAAGTTATCGAAATCTATCTAGTGTTCTGGAGTTTCATTTGGACATTTTTCATTGCTTTTACATGGTTTTTGTTTTGTTCTTGCCCGTTCCCTTGTTGGGCCTTTCTTTGTACGAGTAGGTTCCCATTGTGAAAAATGTGGACACGTACGTGGGACAGTGGAGGTGATGGCCATGGACGGTGATAACTCCGTTGTTTTGTCCATCCCGTATCATGCCCGTGTGCTGGATGGGTAAGCGACTGATTGTGTCTGTTTCTATCTCGAGGCCTTGTTCGGGTCACCCGCCTACCGTATTTCCCCGATTATAAGTCACACTCGATTATAATAGACCAATCCCGAAAAGATTGTCTGGGTTCGAAAGGGGGCATGTCAACTGAGAGTACACTGTACAACACATACATGGCACTACCTGATCAGCATGCGGCACAGGACGTGTTTGATAGTTCGCGTGTGAATGCGAGGGTAAGTACACGATTTTCTCGTTAGTTGCATGCAAGAGAGACGATGCGACAGAAAGCGAAGCCCTTTGTAGTTTTTTCTCTCGCACTGGTAATGGTCTGCTGTTGGAGTTGAAATGCTAAGACATAATCCTTGTTTCGCTCTTCTGTGTAGTGTGAAGAGGTCAACGAACATGTAGAGCTCACTTTGATGAAGTAGGCAAGGCTGTGAGCGCTGTGGCTCAAAGCGATAGGCCCTAAATCTTACGAGATATTTCGAGTGTTATTGTTTGTTGCGAGCGCTTCGTCTTCGATGAATCCTGCCTCTTTCCTGGCAGCTGCCCTCCTGTAGGACCAACCACGAAGTGACTGTACTCATCTGCAGCCGATCAATGTTATATTGCACAAGAAGATATCGTTTTCGCCAAGCCAGTGCCCCGCCAAAGACCATCGCCGTGTCACACCGTCGGAACGAGTTCATGATGAGAAACATCATTCGCGCGAGCGTGATGAAGAACTAGTTCGAAAGACAACATAGTCTTTACCCCCGGGACGACAACTATGCGCACGTCCTGCAAGGGGAGAATGTCACCAGCGACATCAACGAAGACGACGGCAGTATTTCGGAAACCTGGAGTCAGCGGAGGTCGTCAGGCTCCTCCGCGACCCGGTACATGTACAGTATACTATAGGTGACATGTCGACACGAGCGTGCGGAAACACAGCATACACTGTAGTAATGATTATGTTGCGAGAGTTTGCGGAAGGAGTCCAAGTCGGGAAATCCATCAGCTCCAAACGCTACCTGTAGGTGGGCGATGAGACTCCAGCTTCAGACTACAACAGTCAGGACTTGTAAAAAGTTGAACTTTGTGAAGCAGCAGATCGAGAAGTAACGTGTTAGTTAGCTGAAATCGTAGCTGTTGCAGTATGTCGGCGCTATGTAGCTTGCATTTTTTACGGAGAGTCGATCGCCACGCGAATGATTCTCTCCTCACCGAGAGCTATCTGGCCTCCAAACTCCGTCAGGGTCTGCCTAAGGTACCGAAGGTCCTTTGACTAGCTGCTGGCAGGACTCCATCAAATCCTTTAGCTTCAGCTCGGCGAGCAAAAGTCTCTCTCTCCTCCGCCATGAGCTGTCACACACAAACTGAATACAAAACGATGCACTTCACACGTGCTGGCTTGCACGCGTGCCCCCTTTCACGAACCCAGACAATCTTTTCGGGATTGGTCTATTCGCATCCTCATTTTTCAGGTTTGAGCCATATTGATTTGATATATTGACTTCAGTAGTAAGTCATGCTCGATTGTAAGTCGCACCCCCTTTTTTTACCCTTAAATTTTAGTGTGCAACGGTGCGGCTTATATTCGGGGAAATACGGTAGCTAGGTACATGTACAGTGAAACCTACCTTAAGACGACCGCTCAAGGGACCTTCTAAGCGTGGCCGCTGTGTACAGGTGATTTTCTTATCCAGGGTCGTTTGCCTGGATTTAACATCCCTTGGTCCTGGTTATAGTGGACCTGGTCCGCTGGGGCAGTTGGTCACCTTGTCAGAGTGGTCGCCTTGACAGGTTTTACTGTAGCTGAACTGATGCAATAAATGTTGTCGCATCATTGATTACAGTGTTGTTGCTGGATGGGCTACATCTCCTATCTCCTATCCTTACTGATCTGTTGCCAGTCCTTGCTGTTGCTGTCCAACAGTGGCACTGTGGTAGAGACTCGTGTCTTGTCATTACTGGCAACTACCATGTGGCTGTTTATGCATCTCTCTGTCCTGTTCATGTGGGTTTTTTCCTGTCTTGTAGAACGCTGCAGTACACGATGTCGCACACGTCGTTTCACATCACCGGTCCGCCCTTCTACCCTGTCGTGCACTCGTTCCCGCTGACGAACACGTTCAATCAGACCATCGTCATTCTCAGTGCCAACTTTCCACCAGAAGTGCGCGGTCTGCTGTCGGTAAGGCTCTCGACGGCTGATGATGCACATGTGTTGGTGGCACTTGATGTCAGATGTGATAGTGGCTTGTATTCCTCCCTGCTCCATTCCATCCCATCGTGTTGTCTTCTGCTTTCGCCTTACATCTTGATATTCTCAGGTATTTTCACTGCGAATCGCCGTTACGATTGTAGCCAGGACCTGCTTAGTCTGTCGTAGCTGCTTGCTTGTACAGTATTATAGCAATGCTGATGGTCCACAGTTGAAGTTCTATGGTCTCTAGTGGCTAATGGTTTGCGTGTGGTACTTGTTTGTGTCCGTCGTATGTTCCTATTCACAGATCATAGATTTCAAATCACCAGTTGTCATACAACCGCGTCAAACCATGACGCCGTTCTCTGTATACTTTCTGTCGAACTCGTCGGAGATGTCGCTCACGACCGCGATGCGTGTCGTCACCAATGCCTCCACCTTTTCCGTGCCGTTCCAGTGTTACAATGGACGATTGAAGGTGAGCTTTCTCTCTGCCTCTCTCTTTCCTCTCTCGCTCGCTCTCTCTCTCTCTCTCTCTCTCTCTCTCTCTCTCTCTCTCTCTCTCTCTCTCTCTCTCTCTCTCTCTCTCTCTCTATGGTGCGAGTGGAAATTTCCACAGGGCGCATGATTAAGTTATAACAAGACTTGATCTCTCTAAACCGAGTCTTCTCTCTATTCTGTATCCTGCATGTGTTCTTCAGATTGTTCAGGATAAAAATGGTAACACCAATGTATCGTTTGGAATCATTGGCACCGAGGAATCACACTCAAAGACATTCAAAGTGGCGAATCATAACCCGGTGGAGGTCATGATCAAGAAGATTGCCGTGTCCATCAAGCGCACTAAAGTCAAGCTGGTTTCACTGCGCTCGTTGAAGTCCGGTGCACTCCGTCGCATAGCACTAGCTTCTCAATCGGTAAGTGCACCAACCTACTCCTCTTTTCTGTCTGGTCCGTCTCATTCCCAGCATACGGGCATAATGCACAATATCCCCAGGTAAACTGTACATGTGCTCTGAGTGACATGAGTAGACAAAATCAGAGAACATTGTTTGCGGGTACGTCGTCTTGGGTAGTCACCAGGATTCTCTCTCTCTCTCTCTCTCTCTCTCTCTCTCTCTCTCTCTCTCTCTCTCTCTCTCTCTCTTTCTCTCTCTCTCTCTCTCTCTCTCTCTCTCTCTCTCCCTCTCAATCCCACTGGATACAATGTATGGGTGATAGTGAATGCACTCATCACTGTGCTTGACATACACATCATTCTCTGGTGTGCACCGCCTCGACATGTATGCTATCACTTGGTGAAAACTAGGCCAGCCAACACGGAATGGCAGTCGGCGGTTCTCGCACGATCCTGGTCAGGTGCATTCCTGTGCGAGTCCTGGTGATATCTTCTGGGCTTTGCTCTGTGTGTGTGTGTTTGTCTGTCTGCCCACTGTGTTCTAATACAGGTTGCTATTCCTGGCCAGCATGAGGCGACGTTTGCTGTGGAGCTGAAGGCGCCGCTGAAGGAAGGTCACACGGAGTGTAACATCACCATCAAGACACAACTACAGGTACAAAACATGGACTAGGTGCTTGAATGAAAGACTTTGCGAATGGAAAATTCTACTCGCATGATCCATAATTATACTATGCAGCTCATTCTTTGTTCCTGGATGTTTGCTGGCTGATTCTGCCGAACATCTCTATCAGGAGGCAATGAACCTTTTTTGTATTCATTTTAAAACTCAAGTATTCATACGTTGTTTATTAGTCGAATATTCGTAAGTCTGTTTATCGCTTGAACACAGTGTTTCCGTGTGAGCTTCACGGAGTATTGGAAAGTAGGGATTGCTGAGTGCATTGAGTTTTTTTTCTCTGGTGTTGTTTAGACGCTGCGTGTTCCACTCTCCTATCAAGCCGTGCAGGGCGGTTTCCGTGCCATGCCGCCCAGCCTGGTCATCCCGTCCACCTTTCCTGTGAGTACTGTACGGCTGCTCTTACTCAGCTGCGCTTGGTGGTTTCAGCATCGCAATAAAACTACTTCAGCAGTTGTAAACTCTGCAGCTTTGTCTTTTCTCCTCTTTTCCACTTGTCTTGCTGGAATGGAAGAGAGAACCTCCCTTCTGGGGCATTTGCTTTGCAACATTGCTCGGTGTGTACTGTAAAAATGGGTTGTTTAAATTTTTTGGGTTCGAGTCCTGGCGGTGACAGTCAATTTTTTCTTCAGACTTTTCCCTTTTCCATTCCCTCAACTATTGAATTTTTTCACCTAAATTTGGACTACACGTGAATGGCACAAGAGTATGTACTGTATGAAACTCATCAGGTCCCTGACACTGAAATTGTAATGCACCTAAAACTAATTGTATTATCTGTATCTGGCAGTCTGATTGCTGTTGTTTGCTGTATGTGGATGTACTGCAGGGCGTTGTAAGCAGTTTACCGCTGAAGATGCGCAGCTTGTTCAAGCAAGACCTAACGGTGCTGTCCGTCAAACCGGAGACTGATGACCCGCGCTTCCAGTTTGAGCTGGCCCCGGGCCACATCGTGCTCAATGACAAGAAAGCCTTGGTACGTTGTGCGGCCCAGCCAGTCCTCCACATCCTTGTCGGTTCTGTATGTGCATGCCGTGGACATCATGTCTGTGATTCCTTTGGCGAATAGTCCGTAGAAAGGGCTGCGTGCGATATCAAATTCAGCCTACCCTGCTAGTCCTTGTTTAGTTCCGTCTTTCGTTTTAGTGGTATCTGACTTTTGTTTTGGTATTGATGTTACGCTGATTGCACAGGTTGGGACAGTTCATTTTGATCCGTTGTTGGACGGTACAGTTCAGCAGTACGTGGGAATCGGAGCCAAAGGTATGCATGTGACTTACAAGAGTTATTCTATCATCATCATCACCCCCCCCCCCCCCCGTGGCAATCTCCCACAAGCAGATATTCTTCAGTGGAGTTCATGTGTGATTAGGCAGCTAGTAAACAAAGCATCTTTTGAGTGCACCTGGAAGTTCGAGTTTGTCAACCCCGTGGCAATTTCCCACAGGTTAAACAATACTTCAGTAGAGATGAAACTTCACATCTTTGAGTAAGAGATACCCAAGTTTGAAGACTTCAATTCCATTGTCCACTGTCCATTGTACATGTACCTAGTGCTGTAGACAGCCAGCTGTTTGTACATGTATGCATGTTCTGTCCTTGTAAATGTGCTGTGTGTTCTGATCACAGGCACCACAAGCCGACTGGTGTGGCTTCAGAACATCCTGAAGGACACCTTCCATCCCAGCGAGGACATGCAGGACTACGAGGTCATGCGTGACAAGTGGGCCTCCATGCAAGAGGCTGGCCGCTCTCTGACCAGGTACACTTGCATCCAGCTGCAGTGACGGTGTGCACATAATGTACACACCAAATGTTGGTGTTTGTTTTGTGACTAAGTAGTTTTGTTCTTTCATTAGGTATTGCTATGGGTGTGTGCTACCCTATAAACTGACTGCATGTACTGGCTTATATTTTGCCTTGGTAAAGTACTCAACCTCCGGACTGCTAGCTGCTTTGACCTTGTTAGGTCTAGTCAGCAGAGCTCAGAGTCACTGGCCGAACTCGGGGAAGGATAGTTGCATGAGTGGGCAGTTCTGTTGTCTATGAGTACTCACTTAGACACTGCTTTTTTTTCTTTTGCTCTTGTGTTCGCAGTCCGAATGCCACCTTTTTACTGACTACTGACCTGGTGGAGAATTATCGCTTGACGTTCCAGGCCAGTATGACATGGCCGTCGATTTCGCAGGACACCACACTGGAGCTGCCGCTTACTCATGTTGGAAAGGAGTCGGTAGGTTTTTGAATCGTTGAATAGAAACTTGCATGTTGGGTATTCATAGTGCCAGTGTTTGTTGCAGGCCTGGTCTGCTGGTTTTGTTGGCTTTAGCTCTTTTCTTGCCATAGCAATCTTGTTTGGAACAGTTACTTGTTTGACACCAACACTCAGGGTAATATTTGCTGTGTGTCCATCCACTATAATCTGTGTAGGTTGCCGAGTTCCGCGTCTTCAACCCGTCCAACACACGGCTAGTTGTACAGGTGATCATGCTGCATGACTACCCTGAGCCGCAGCGCATTCTGGACGTACTAAGCGACAGGTGAGCAACTCAATGTTGGCTGTTTGGAGGTGGTGGTCCAGGGTGGGTTAGGTCTTCTGGCAGCTGCAGTGTTATTCCTGTTCCATGTTGCTACCTAGACCGTAGCCTGTGGTGAGAGGGGAGAGTCCGCCGCATGTCCTGTCAGGGCAGTAACGTGGGCGTTTATTCTTGTCTAGGTGCCACGCGCTCATACCGTTGTGTTAGATCGTTGGGCGGTTTCTGAAGCGCTATCTTCACGTGTGCGTGTGTCTATGCCGTTGTGTTTCCTGGTGTGCCTGGAATAGACTCGATACTGACACTGTTGATCTGGAAGGCTCTCGAAATGCTTTCCACTTGATGGAAGCCCGGGTAAGCTATTTTTATGATTTACGTCTTGCATGATGATTCTGCTGTGTCATCTTCTTTCTCGGCGCTCAGTTTACATTTTCCTTTGTCTGCTTTGAGTGCTTTAGTGAAAAAGTCACTTCACTTATCCCCAGCATTGTAGGATATTGAATATACTCTCATGCATGACATGCTTACAGTAGTTGTGGATATATTTCTATGGTGGCCCTGGTGCATTTGTTTTCTGGTGCTGGTTGTGGGCTTTTTGAATAAGCAAGATCATTATGGCATGCTTCTGTTGTGATGTGTATGTGTGCTGTACAGCCTGAGCCAACCATCGGCCCGCCGTACACCGTCATACTTGTGCTTCAGGCCAACGACAGTAGCCTGGTGAAGATTGGGTTCAGGCCCAATGCAGAGAAGCAGTTTACTTCTATGGTCTTGCTGAAGTAAGTGGAGAGAGGGGGTCAGTGTGTGTGTGTGTGTGTGTGTGTGTTTGTGTGTTTGTGTGTGTTATTCCCTGATTTTCCCATCATTTAGTGGTTCACTTGAACAGTGAAATGTTATCTGGCAAAATTTGAGTTGTAACTTATCTGGCATCGACGATGTATCTCGCTCCGCACTTTTGTCCACATTCCTAACCTACTCTCCTACTGGAGATCTGCAGAGTGGCGCATCATGCTGACCAAACCACTTCTGCGGTGGCACATGGGAGATAATCTGTGTTGACTGCTGTGGTGAAGCATCGTAGTAAATTTTGATACATGGCATGCTCAACTTACATTTTCTGATTTACCTGCATTCAGGAACAATTTGACTGTGATGGATGCGGTTCAGTTGACTGGGCAAGGAATTACCGGCTCGCTAACTGTGAACGGCAATCCTTGTAACAGCCCATCACCAATTGTCTTTGCCATGTCTACCTCTTTGGCTGAGCAGTGTACAAGTAAGTGTTGCTCCAGTTTATTTTCTCTCGCTGCTGCTATCTGCAAGTCTCTCTCTCTCTCTCTCTCTCTCTCTCTCTCTCTCTATTTCTCTCTCTCTCTATTTCTCTCTCTCTCTCTCTCTCTCTCTCTCTCATCCTGACGTAGTGCATTCAGGACCGTCCTGTGTAACCGATTGTAGTCGTTATTTTTTTCAAAATGAAACGATACTCCTAAACCCCACCCACAAACATGAGCAATATGGTCCATTGCAGCCGATTTTGTTCTGGTGAATGTTGCGAAACCTCATGAAAATCACCATGCATTGAATCTTGACTGTGTGCGCTTTACTGCTGTGCGCAGGAGTGACACGGCCCCTGCAGCTACAGCGCACTGTTGTTGCCCATAACAACGGCTTGCTCCCACTGCTGATCGTGGGCATGTACGTCAACGACATGGAGTGCGAGGGCTATGGTTTCACCGTCAACAACTGCCGCCGCTTCTTACTAAAGCCCAATGCGACGAGAACACTGAAGATAACGTGAGTGTTGTTGTCGTTCGTGCTCTTCTTCTGCTGTACTTTCCCCGTTGCAGAGGGGCCCTACAGATGCAGTAAAGACAAAATGACCAGAACGCAAAATTTTGATGTGCAGTGGTCCCTTTACAATCCGGCACTATTTGTGCACCGGCAATTCTGCTGCATTAGGGAGGGTGCTGGATTAACAAATCCTGATTTACTGCTGCAATGTACATGAACAGGACATTTTGGCTACTGAAAAGTGTACTGGTTTTTGAAGTGCTGGATTAAAGAGGGACGACTGCAATACATTTGTTGTGTTAAAGCATGCCTTGTGTTGTGCTTGTGTGTGTTTTTGCACAGGTTTACCCCTGACTTCAGCATGGCGCGCGTCTCCAGGAAGCTTCGCTTTGACGTGCGCGAGATCGGCTTCCTGGACGTGAACCTGGTGGGCACGATTCCGCGCGACCTGCTGCCGCTGTGCCTGCAGGCGATGCCGCGGCCCTGGTGGGAGGCCTCGTTCACGTCGTTTCTCTTCTGCGTGGCGCTCGCCTCGTCCTTGTGCATCACCTGGTTGGCCATCAGCCACTCCAACCAAGCCTGCGATCAGCTGAACCGCACGCCGTCCGACCTGCAGCCGCGCTTCGACCTGCGCAAGAACGTCATATCGCGCACAAAGCCCGGCAGTAGCCGTGATAATGATGACGACCGGAACAACAGTCCTCGACCACCGCCTACAGGATCAAGGTTAGTCATAGCATGTACTTGTATGCTATGAAGTGGTGCAGCTGCAGTTGTTGTAGGTGAATCGGACCCACCAGCGTGCATGTCTGTCCGAGACCGATTCTCTGTATCAATGCCCACATTTATACTTGCACTTGCCTATTGAGTGACTCTGTCTGCAGCCTACTGTCACAATTCTACTCGCTCTTGAAAGGGGAATTTAGCTCATGTTATCTATTCTTTGGGAATTAGCCCTCAATGGAGATGGTTTGGTCCCCGGTCTGTCGTATTATTGTGGGATGGAGCTGCCACCGCCATGTATATATTAATGAATCTTCTGCATGCCTGCCCTGCTGACATGGAGTGTGACTAACTTATTGTCTTCGATGTGTGGTCAAAGTGCATCATTTCAACATTGCTTTGTGTTTTTTCTGTGCTCCCTGTTTTTTTTTAACATGAACAGTAAGGTACCAGTAGACGCGGAGAGCGGTGGTTCTGTGCAATTACCGAGCACAGAGCTACCCAAGGAGGCAGCCCGTGAGCCCATTGTCTCTAAGAAAGTAACAGCAGTGAGCGCCACGGCCAGCAAGCCTGCGAAGGGGAGTCCGAAAACTGCCCATCGCAAGACTCCCGCAACACCAGCCGTGCTGTCCCCCATGGCCAAGCCAGAATCCACGGTGGAACCCCTCGTGCAGGCGTTGGCCCAGACCAATGCAATGACCACTGCGCCCAGCAAGCTATCGTCAGCTGCAGCGGCATTGTCAACTAATCATACCGCTCGTAGCTCGTCCGCCATTTCATCTTCAAACGGCACCAGTACAACAAGCACATCTGCATCGGTCTCTAGCAGTAGGAGTAGTAGCAGTAGCAGCAGCTTATCACCAGCAGCGACGAGTATTGGTGCCAGCCATACCTTACCCTCGCCTACATCCAGTACAAGTGGCCCATCGTCCAATGCTAGCCACGCCGAGTCAAGTTCATCCGGTGCACGGGCATCGGCAGCAGCGGAAGCAGCGGTAACTGCCAGCAAGAAGACGGCAGGCAAGGGACTGAAAAAGACCGCATCTCAGACACGCTACTCACCCTCTCCCACTGAGTCCAAACCACGGCTGATCAAGCAGACGTCATCAGAGTCGCTCTCGTCCAATGATGCTCCAGTGGTCTCGAGTCCAAGTGTCGAACGAAGTGCTAGCGCCGCCACTGCCGCCAGTGACAAGAAGGCGTCCAAGAAGACCAAGGCAATGCTGCGTGAAGAGAAGCGAGAGCAGAAGCGAAAGCTGGACCGTGAGCGATTGCAAGCCCTGCAGCATAGCATGCCCAGTGGCGGCAGCTGCGCCACGACTGTAGGCATCAGCACTGCTAGTAGTGCTGCCAGCTCACAAGCCGTAGATAACCTAGACCTACTGCTGTCCTCGGTGGATCGTGACAGCAGCGTCAAGGCCGGAAAGCAGACGAAGTCGTCACTGATTGCAGTTGTCAAGCCGGGTATGTCCAGGGCGACAGCACCACCAGAAGTCAAGGACGTACCGCTGAAGAAGGAGAACACGCGCTCCGGTACCAGCGGCATGGCGGGCCTAGCTCCGTCCGTGTCCATGGCGGCTGCGAATATGAAAACCGGAAGTCCCCTGCTGCCACACCGGCCCGTGAATCTGTTCAAGCCCGGCAGCACGGTTAGCAGCAATCCCACCAGCTCATCATCCACATCGCCTGTCAGTGCAGGGCCCGCTGTCAAGCCACCCACGTCACCGCACATGCTGGCTTCGGCAATCGCCTCGCAGGTCGGCCTTGTCGACGGTGACAAATCTAGCAGCAGAGCAAGCAGTAGGGCGTCGTCGGCCGGGCCTTCAAGAGGGCATGCGAAGGACGCATCCAACAGATTAACAGGTAGGAGCCTTACAGTGCATTCCGAATTTCAGATATGTCCGAGAATTTAGGCTCAAACACCAGTTTCTTGATTCGTAATTTGGGCTTTTGACCTGCAACTCAACAGATTAACAGCCAAGAGACTTACAGTGTATTCAGAAACATCTGAGCTTTATGCTTTTTCACTTTTTTCTTACCCGATTTAGGCTGAATTTTGGATGGGAAGTCTGGATTAGGGGAGTTTGCATGTACTGGTAGATGTGTCGGGGGTGGGGGTATGTAGCTGAGTAAGAGGGAAGATTGCTAATTTTGAACCCGACCTGCTGTGTTTGTGTCTATATCCAGGACCGATCCTACAGCAAGATTCGAAGAAACCGTCTCCTCCTCCCGGCAGATCATCGTCTGAGGTGTGTTTGGTTGTGCGTACCCGTGTGCATCTGCATTGCATCCGTGTGCTTCTCTCTGCGCGTATTTATGTGTGTCTGTGTGTGTCTGTGTGTCCACGTGTACCTGTGCATGCGCACGATCCTATGAATATCATGTTTTCTATTGTACTCGTGGCAATTACAACTGAGAGAACAGAAGATCGACAATATTAGCACTATTTCTTTGGCTCACGCTTTAACCCCTTTAGCGCGAGCGTCGTACTAGTACGACGCACATGAGTTGCATGCCCCACGGCCGTCGTACTAGTACGACGCGCGCTGTACACTGTACACTGAACCTGCATCTCATAGTCGTGGGGTCCGTGTTGAGTCCATAGTGACTTGTTCAAACTATCGTAACTCACTCAATACTTGGTCGATTCTCACAATCGAAACATGTATCTGCAAGAGAAAACTCTCAGCTGGCGATAGAAACAATCGCCGAAGCGATGCGACCACCGGTTGTTGAGATATGCGACTCGACACGGCAAATTTCAACTCGATTTTTTTGCGATTTTTTTGCGCAGTCTGCAGAACGCGTATTTTCCATCATGGATCATTTGTGCGCTACCTGCTGCCATGGAAACAAGATTGAAATGATGGTAGTGGATCCCGTGAGTCCTCACAAAAAATTTGAGCTCGATACGAGCAAGGAGACCGAAATGGCAGCTGAATATTTGAGCTTGGTTAGTCTTGGCCGTGCTCAAGTCTGTCGAGCGCGTGGATGAAGTTTGCCAGACTGTAGCACGGGGTTTTGGTTTCGCTCCGAGCTAGGTTTGACACCAGTTTGTCACTCGTCTCAAGACCTTTCCAGGAAGCTCAAGATCGTGGAATTCGTCCAAGGGAAGGTAAAGTTATCGATCCTTGAGCAGCTAGTACTTTCATGGGAAAATGCGACTTTTACAGGTGTTGTCGCGTGGGGCGCGCTCAGGTAGCGTCGTGCTAAAGAGGTTAATCTTAATTAACAAAAAGCCTTCGTTGTGTTGGTGGTTCTGCCAATACATTCCAGTTTGCAGGAGTACTTAGTTCCGGTGATACATTTCTGTCCGTCAACATACCAATAATCTTCCTGTACTCGGTACTTTTGTTTTCTTGTGTTCCAATCGTGCACAGGTGTTCCGCCGCTACAAGGACAATCCGTCGGTGCAGCCCGAGGAGTTCCGGCCCCGCGCTCCTGTGGCTGGCGGAGGGCCTGCCATCTCGTTGTCGCCGTCCACCTTTGCACGCGCCGGTCACACCACCAACACTGGCAAGTCACCCTCCGCTTCGGCAGCAGCTGCATCCGGCTCACCGGCCTCTGGCAACGGTGTTTGGTCGCAGGGATTGATAGCAACACGCTTACAGCCAGCGTCATCATCAGGCTCGACCGCGTCCTCTTCGATGTCCGGGTCACCAACGTCAATGGCATTCAGCCGACGCGCGTCATCTCCCATTTTGACCAATGCTGATCTTGTTTCAGGTCTTCTGGCACATCCAGGAGCAGCAGCAGCCACTGGTGCTGGCTTGCCCAGTGTCTACTCGCACGCCAGTATTGAGCAGCTTGCCATGCAGGGTGTCGCAGCAGCCAGTCGTAACAACAACGCCAGCGGCAGCAGCAATAGTGCTGCCGGACGTTCACCACAGCGCCACATCTCACCGTCACCGTCGACCAACGACCTGTTCATACCCGATCTTCTCGCTGCCGGCACTCCCATCGATCAGCTGAGCCTGTTGACTGGCGCGCAGCCGCAGACTTTCCCACTGCCACCCGGTTTCGAGAACATACCGGCGATGAGTCTTCCCCCGCCTGACGAGGAGCCATGGTCCGTTCTCCGTCCAGAAGGTGGCGGCAGCAGCAGCGACAGCAGTTCGCCTTCGTGGGACAGCCCCGGCGAGTCCGGCACGTTCGACGCCATCTCGGCGCAGTCGGCAGCGTTCCAGCGGATACGCTACGACGGTAATCATCTGCCTATGCCTACAAACACGCTGCCCAAGTCTTCGGCGCCTTCGTCATCGTCTCGCCGTGCAAAGCCAACCGGCGGCAGTGGACCACTAGCGGTCACGCCAAGCAACACTGAGCAGTTTGCTGCTGGCTTCTCGCCACCGGAGTTGACGTCACAGCAGGCAGGTGCACACGACGTGTGGCATGATGCAGTGCAGCGGACTGTAGCGCAGTCAAAGGAGGTGGGTGCAGTGTGGAGACGCACGCTCTTATTGCATGTACTGTGATGGGTCTATCATTATCACTAACACTTGCTCATGCAGTACATGCACTGGCAATCAACCATTAAGACCATTCAACATCTTGTATGTGGCTAGGCCAGAATTGCCTGTAAGGACGTTTCGAGAAATAGCTGCTCACTGTTCAGCACATGACGTTTTTGTCCAAATTCTGCTTGCCCACCCAATTGGTTTGAAGCCTTTCAAGGGCATCTGATTGGGTGGGGTGCATGGACATTGAACCGCTTTCTCCGTGTATTCTTGTGATTACTGTTGTTGTCGCGTTGCCAAGCTCACCCCCAACAGTATGTTCGTGTTCCCAGTGCACAATGTGTGTGTGTGTGTGTGTGTGCGCGGGTGTGTGTGTGTGTGTGTGTGTGTGTGTGTGTGCGTGTGTTGTCTATTTTAATTTTGTTCCGCTGAGTTTGAGCCTTCATGTTCTGTCTTACATTTCTCCTTCCGTTCTTGTTCAGTCGAGTTCACGGCAGTCGTCCTGGATGCATCCAAGTCCCATGACGTCAGCAGCTCATCCACCTTTCGGTTCGGTGAGCTCTCGCTATCTCTGTCTGTCTATCTCGCTATCTCTCTCTCTCTCTCTCTCTCTCTCTCTCTCTCTCTCTCTCTCTCTCTCTCTCTCTCTCTCTCTCCCTCCCTCTGTGTGTGCGTGTGCATATGTGTGTGTGTGTTTGTTTGTCTGTGTGTGTGTATGTGTGGGGGTGGGGGGTCTGCTTCTCGCTATGCTATGGCATATGTGTGGGTGTGCCATGACCATGTTTGTGTCTTGCGTGTTTGTTTCTTTTGCAGGTCCCATCAGGTTCTTTGTTCAGTCGCCGTAGCTCGTCCCCCCAGGGAGTGCCTCAGAGCAGCTGGGCAACAAGTGACTTTGCGGCACCCCAGCCTAGTGATGGCTGGGATCGTGGATCCTCAGGCTCCACTAACATTGCCACGAGAGCGCATGCTAGCTTCCAGCCTGTGGAGTCAACCTCTTTCTCTGCAAGGACTGATGAGATCCCGAGCGGAATGCGAAGGGCAGTGCGCAGATCAGTCGGTGCTGAGCAGAGCCCCATTGACACTCCGGTACGTGTGCTGTGCTGTCCTGGTCTTTTTGGCACACACACACACATGCACACTCACTCACTCACTCATTCACTGACCCACTCTCCTCGCGATCAGTTTCGCACTGGATCCTGGCGACAGAAATGCTGGACTTGCGACGAGTGCCTACCGTTACACATGTATGCCTGCACCACCCTACATTGGTTGGCCGAACGCACAAGCCGCTCTATGCTGTTCAGCGCACCGGCAGTAAAGGCCGTATTTGGCCGTCATTGTGTGCGGAATTGCGGATGCGAGTGGAGATTTGGATTACATGTACCCGAACACACCGGAGCATGCACCCAGTGTGCGGAGACTGCTCGAATACCACAGTGACAGAGCGTGTATTACACAGAACAACACGGGGCAAGGCAGAGCTACAAGAAACTAGCCTTGCCCCGTGCTGTTCTTCTATGTACCAGAACACACAATAGCAGCTCGCCAGGAAGTGTAGTGATAACTGGCTGTAGGACTGTACACTGTGCCTGTATTGCATTTAACAGTCAGCCGTTCGAATAACCACCTTCGGTCATGCACGAGAAAAGTGCCGTTACATGTATTTGCAAGTCGTCGTTATTCAGGTGGTTGAAAGCATGCAGTCAAATGTTCACTAGGTCTGAAGACTGTGTTGGTATTCGCGGTTTGTTGTCAGACCCGAGGCCGTTGGTCACGTGTTGTTGTTAAACCGGAGTTTGTCATGCGAGGTCGACTGTACACAGGTTGACATCTGGGTTTCGAAACTGCGTGGCTTGTCACAACTAGAATGTACATGGATGCATTCCATAATGTGCTTTTTTCCTTATTTTAGCGGTGTATTACTGAAATGTTTTGCTTATTCTTTGGCGTTGCCCTTATCGCTCAAGGGATGTGGGTGGGTAGGTGTGTTTGTTTGTTTGTTTCTTTAGCAATTTGTTTGAACTCCGTGAGTTTATGTGTTTTGTGTGTGTGTGTGTGTTGTGCTCAGTCGGCGTACTCTAAGAAATTTGACACCATTGCGCCAGAAATCAAGGGTATCTGGGGCAGCAATGACGGCGGCTCTACTGCTTCCAATGGAGCTTGTGCCATGTCTCATTCACCGACCTTGCCTCCCATTGGCCTCAGCTTGGCTTTACCAGCATCTCCGGCGAAGACAGCAGCAGCTGAGCAAAAACGTGTGAAGGCCTCACCGCCCGAGAAACTATATGATCCCTTCAACAGCGGCATATGGGGCTTTTCACCTTCCTCATTCTTCAAACCTCCCAGCGATGAGTGAGCGTATCTATGCTACTGTAGCATATGCTTTCGCTAAATGATAAATGTTTGTGTTGAGTGACAGCTCCACAGGATTTATACGCTTTGCACCTGGACCGTGGCAATATCCTATTCCTTGGAATTATCTCTGCCTCTCTTTCTGGCTCTCTCTCTCTCTCTCTCTCTCTCTCTCTCTCTCTCTCTCTCTCTCTCTCTCTCTCTCTCAGCCTTAGGCGTTATGTTTGTACGAATTCTGTCTTTTGCTAGTAGTAGTTTTAATACTTGAGGCCTGTCCCCTGGCTTGTCTTCGGGCGACATTAGTTAGTGGCCGTTGTTTGTTTCTGGCTTGATTGCCTGCTAGTTTGTAGCCGATAGTTTTTTTCCCCCTCTTTAGAACGTCAATGACCCCTGTCGTTGCCTCATCTGTCATTGTTTTTAAAGCAGCTCATTGCTGCGTTGTTCTTTGTCGTTGGTCGACTTATTTATTGGCGCACGTGGCTACTCTGTGCTCACACTGGACTTTTTCTCCGTAGCTAAAAGCTAGCTTGCCCAGGTCTCTTCATGGCAATACGTGCACTCCGTTTTATCCTGCCGCCGAGCCCTGGTGGCTGGTTGGGCGAGCCGCTGTTCAGGGCTTCTCTTCGTTACGTTTTTAACCAACTCGTGTTTCTCTCATCTTTTTTCTTGTCGTGTCTTGCCGCGGCAGCAGTTTTCTGTGTCTGCATTTGCATAATATACATGTAGGCTAGGTGTTCTGTGTATCAGAAGTTTTCATTGTGTCCACCCTGAAGCAATCCACCACCCACCACCGACCGTGGTGTCAGTGTCTGATTTTCAATTATTCTCGATTCTGCCTTGTCTTCTAGGTTTGTGATGGGGCAGCCCAGTCGGATCTTTCAGAATTTTAAAAATAAACTCATTTTGATGATCATGATTTTCATGTATCTGACATTGTAGCTGTGTGTGGGTGTGTGTGTGTGTGTGCCGTGTGTGTGTGCCGAGTGTGTGCTAGTGCATGCCGTGTGTGTGTGTTGGGGGGGGGGGGGGGGGGGGCTTGCGTGTACGTGACCGACATGAGCTTGTGTTTTGTTGCGCTCAGCTGATTACTGACCACCCCCTCCCTCTGTCATTGTGACAAGATACCAAGATGTGGGTGTTCTATGAAACATGCCGGTGGTGTTAGTCGACTCTTCTGCCGTTTATGCTGTTTGTTGATAGGCGACTGTGTAATCTCAGTGCGCGTGCGATTACCGGCAATTAGTTCGGTAATTAGTTCTTTTTCATTTTACTTCAAGCTTGAACCCTGTACCGTCTGGCGTTTAGCTAAAAGTTTGCCAATTTTTTTAAAAGTGTACGTGCGTGTTTGCGGAGCTTACTTCATGAAGTATAATTGTTACAATATTTTACCGCTCCCTTGAATGCATGCGCGTGCGTAGACCTACACGCGCGTGTATGTACGTGCGTGTGTCCACAGAAATGTGTTATTTTTGTGATTCATTGCCATGTGACAGTTCCGGACTTCGGTGTAGTCAAGGGGCATCCCCGAATCCTTCGTGCACGTGGCGCTGCGTCATACGATGATATGCCGGACGTGCCAAAACGTTTTTGCAGGAAAAGACAAGCAGACACTGATTTTGAATCCTTGTTTTATTTTTGTATCTTCCTTGTTCGATTTTTCATTGTTCCAAAACTTTGGTGACATTTCCCGGTACATGTATGTAGAAATACGGCAATCACTCCGAATAAGTGCTAGTAGAACGGTTCGGGGATGCCTTCACGCGTTGCTTCGATTTTCAGTGCACTGCTGGCCTTCCTGCTAGCTCACACCGTCCAATGCAAGGTTGTCAACGTCGAGCTGGACTCCAGGAAAGCTGCGCAGGGCAAGGGACAATACTTGACGAAGTTTTGCTTTCAAGGTACTGACTGTACTGTACGCTTCATAACATGAAGTGCATGTACGATGCACTGGACTGGAGCACATACTACATAGTCCAGTGAATACAATGTACATGTACATGTACCACTCGAAAATATATTTGCGTGTGAGTATGAAGCTCTCCCATTCCCTTGTTAAAGGGGAAGTTAAGGCAAACATTAAAATTTCACCAGTTGTAGTCTTCGGGGTGCTGAGTCGAATGGTCTTGGTCCGAGAAAGCTGAGACGCTCCCTTCCTACTTGAATCCCAATCGAACTCGCGCACTACCACCGAAACTGGGTGACTGCGCCCTACTAGATGGGGATTTGTATGCAAAATGTCACTAAAAGCGCCATTTCGTTCTTATAAAAGCACGGATGACCGCGATTGGCCCTTATGTTTTACTCTTTTGGACGCTGAGTCGACTGGTTTTGGTCCAAAAAGGCTGCGATGCAGCGTTCCTCCTTTATTCCCAATCGAACATGGTTGAACAAGCGCTCACGTGCTCCTGGGTGCCCAAATCACTTGGTCACCACGCCAGCAGGCGACAACTTTCACACCAAGGTTCAACTCGAGTTCAACTCGAGTGACAGGACTGCACCCAAAAAAGGTCAAACAGGCTAGTAAGTTGTACCCTGCAGGCACGGTGACCAGGTGACTGGCATACGCAGGAGCACGTGACCGCTTGTTCAACCATGTTCGATTGGGAATAAAGGAGGAACGCTGCATCGCAGCCTTTTCGGACCAAAACCAATCGACTCAGCGTCCAAAAGACTACAACATATGGGCCAATCGCGGTCATCCATGCTTTTATAAGAACGAAATGGCGCTTTTAGTGACATTTTGCATACAAATCCCCATCTAGTAGGGCGCAGTCACCCAGTTTCGGTGGAAGTGCGCGAGTTCGATTGGGATTCAAGTAGGAAGGGAGCGTCTCAGCTTCCTCGGACCACGACCATTCGACTCAGCACCCCGAATACTACAACTGGTGAAATTTTAATTTTTGCCTTAATTTCCCCTTTAAAACATTTGCTATAGGACAAGAAGCTATGGGAGTGACATCATCGCGGTGCTTTCTATTGGGTGGTAAACCAGTGCATGTGATGAGACTGATGATGTAGTTGCTGTGAAAGGTTGGGGTGTATGTTCGCTTAGTGGCACCTATCCAGTTTGTCCAAGTCTGGCTTCAATGCCTGGTGTCTAACATTCTGAGCCATGCAAAGCCGTTGTGCCCCCTCAACTTGCACAGCCCTTGACGCCCTGGAAGGGGCACGAATGCAGCTGGACGTGCACATGTACAAATACAGTGATGCAATCAGAACTGGTCCAGGGCACCAGTTTTGCACCATGGGTTGGACTTCACCGAGCTCAACTGTACTACGCAGAGCCACAGCCGGAGGGGGTATACCCAGCCGAAGAAAACACCTGTCAAAGAGTTTCACGAGATGCACATGCAGTCATATTCTCTACATAGGTCCACAAAAACGCGTCATCGCTTGGAACGGTGCCCATGTGACTTCTCCACCCGTTGACGGACATGGAAGAAGATGGCGTCGGCGTGCCCATTAGTTCAATGGAACTGGCATTAATACTCGGATCAGGCGTCGCTTGTAGTCAGCTCTGCACAACACACAACTACACTAAGCACACTTTAACAGTGTACATGTATAAAGCCGTGCAGTTGTGTGTGTGTGTGTGATGCTGATATTTGAACCATTTTTTTCTAGTGGTGTGCATGGGTAGTCGGGTACCCGTGCTACCCGTGAGGACCTCGGGTAGACGGGTAGAGAATAGTACCCGAAAACCCGAAGTCGTAGATTACATCAAGTACAGTGCACGTGTACAAATTCATGTAATACTCCGCATGTCTACCCAATGTGTAAGGGAAGGGGTGCATTGTGGTGTTACCATGGAAACATTACCCGATCGGGTACCCGTGCTACCCGTGGAAAACTATCCGAACCCGATACCCGAAGAAAATGCTACCTGACTCGGCTCTAATTGTTTCCTGTTGCTATCTTTGCAATTTGCCCCAGGTCAAACCGGCGTGGTACGGTACAGCATCAATGAGACGGTGGCTGGCGGTGCCCTGTATCTTTTCTATGACGAGGTATGGCCCAAGTTCCTCTCCTCTCAGAACTGTGCGGAGAGGCTGCAGCTTGCCAATATCAAACGTGAGTTGCTCATGTGCTCGTGTTGCGGCCTACGCGTCTTCCTACCTGACACGATGCTTCTCAGTTCAGGTGTTACTTCTTTGGCACTGAGATACAGTAAAACCGGTCTGAGACGACCGCTCAAGGGACCTTCAAAGTGTGGTCTCTGTTACCAGGTGGTCTCCTTATCCAGGGTTATTTGACTGGAAATAGCATCCCTTGGTCCTGGTTTCAGTGGTCTTCTTGGACAGGTGGTCGCCTTATCCAAGTGGTCGCCTTGACAGGTTTTACTGTGCCGTGAAAGAGATCAAACAGTTCAGTATAGAGTACCCCGAATATAACGAACTTTTCTCTTTGCACTGGAAAGAAAGTTTTTTGTTTAAAATACCATTGGTGCATTGTATCCTTTTCCAGTCATTTGACCTTGGATATAGAGTGCCTCGGATACAAAGTAGGGCTGCAACGGGTAGGGGTTTGGTCGGGTAATGAGTTCGGGTATTTCTATCCGGGTAGCATGGGTACCCTATCGGGTATTTTTTGACATAGTTTGTACAGTGAGTGTCCACTTGCGCTACATAGAAAGTGTACAGTAAGCACGTGGGCGTGCTTTTTACATGCACCGTTGCGAAAACACCGTACTCCAACAATCCAATCGGGTTCTCAGTAGCTAACTTTCATTGAGCAGCACCGTAGTGTACTGTATAACCGGAAAGTCTAATGAGTTACAAAGTCTAATGTTTTATTAACGACCGATTTTTTCGTTATTCGAAGAAACGTTATCGCGAACCCGGTTTGAGATGTCTGTGTAAAGCTGCGCATACAGATGCGTGGCCAGGTAGCCATCGTTAAACTTTCTGCACGTTATCATGCCAAAATTTCAAAAACGTTTAACTTTTTTGGTCGTTAAACTTTCCGGTTTTACAGTACTAAAGCTTCACTTTGCTAGTAATCCAGTACACACCTTTGTTGGACTGGCCATGTTTTCGGTCTGCTATTTCCTTGCATTCTTACTGGTTCCTTGTGTATTGATGCTCATGAGCCATGGCCATGTGGAATCGTTGATGAAAACTAGAACACCAATCAGCAAGTACCAATGGCTGCTGGTTTCCAATGGCAACTGTTTCTAACAACCTCTGCTTGTATGACCACTGTATGTCCAATGTCTCCCTACGACCACTGTTTTCCTACAAGCACTGTTTCCCTACAAGCACAGTTTCCCAATGCCCACTGTTTCCCTACGATCACAGTTTTGTGTGAGCACTGTTTGCCACTGACCACTGCGTTGTGTTTGCTTCTGATCATGTGTTTGAGCAGTGGACCTACACGATGAGGTAGCTGGGGAGCGCACCATGGCACAATGGTTTGAGCCTCACTTCTGGTACGTCATCTACGCCGACTCGAAGACCTGCACGGACGATGGCACATCGGACACGTCGCTGGTGACGGCGGAGCTGGTCTTCCTCAATCCGGACTCGAGAGGACTGGCCCGGAACCACTTCAGCGTTGACACCAGTGGTACGTTGAGTGCAGCGTGCACGTCCTGTCATTTCCTCCTGCTCCTCCTCTGTTGGAAATATCTGCTGTATTTGTGTTACTGTACAGTGGAACTCCAGTATTAAGTTGGGAACGTTTCTTGCATATTGCATGCCGTCGGGTACACAGAGTACTACATTTATTTATGAAGACCTTGCATAGGTTGTACCGTTTTACCTTGAGTGGTAATACTACCCGAAGTACAGTGTTTCATGGCCCTTGCAGGTGCATTGTGGCAACGTTTCGTGAATCTACAGTTGTATGCAATATGCAACTGATGGTTGTTATAAGAAGATTTTATCAAATGTTTTGGAGTATGGCTGTTGTGCCGTGTAATCCTGATGCCATGAGTTTAACAGCTCAGTACAGCCATGTACTTGTCGGTGTGCGTGCGCATCTGTGTGTTTGTGTGTGTGTGTGTGTGTGTGTGTGTGTGTGTGTGTGTGTGTGTGTGTGTGTGTGTGTGTGTGTGCGTGCGTGTGTGTGTGCGCGTGTGCACGCATGTGTGTGCTGTCTGTCTGTCTCTCTGTATATGTGGCTGTGTGTTTGTGTGTGTGTTGTGCATCATAATTATGTGTGTGTGTGTTGTGCAAGTATGTGTGTGCGTGTGCGTGCGTGTGCGTGTGTGCGTGCGTGTGTGCATGCATATCGGAATCATGTCTGTTCACCTACACACTATCATTAGGGTTGCTGACGTTCTATGAGCTGCTGTTCATCGTGAACATTGCCGGTGGCTACTTCTTTCTGCATCGCATGTGGCAGGGTATCAGCAAAGGAGGACCTTTGAACGCGGTAAGCGTGAGGGAAACTACCAGTGACAAAGACGGGTATGCATGCACATCAGTACTATACAATCCCTGTCCTGTCTCTTTTCCTGTTTACATTTACTGCAGCACGACTTGTTTTAGCTCATGTGTTGCCGTTTGATTAGTAACTGTCGTTGGACCGACTGGTCTTAGCTCATTCGATAATCAATGTATTGATCACAAGAGGTACACAAAAGGAAATAAATAGGGCTGTTTTTGTTGTAACTCAGAGTTTCTTGGCAAAAACCAATCATCAGACAACTCAATGTACTGATCATGTTGTGCTGTTCTGCTGTGTTCGCTTGCAGGCTGTGCGCATGGTGTCGGCTGCGGCCGTCCTGCAGATCTGCGCCATTCTCTTCATGACAATGCACCTGTGGAGGTAAGCTCCTTGCAAGCCAAGCATCTGCCTTTTGAGCACATGATCGGTGGTGGTGGTGGTGGTGTAAGTGATCGATGCATGGAGGCGAACCGTTAAAAACCAGCAAAGTTGTGTACTAAGTACTGTATTTTCAGGAGCAGAGCTGGGCTTTTCTTCATAAAAACCCAATTGAACCACAATCACCCCCGCCGCTTCTACCTCGAACATTCATTTTCACACAAAAGCGCCCAGGAATGCGACATTAACATTTGGCTTCCAGGAGTGTGTTGCCTCTTTGATCCCAGAAGTTGTAGCATTGAGTTTTTTTTATAGGGAAGTTGGTTACTCTCCGGTATGTTCTGCTTGCTCAAGTCGTTGTATTATACTTTCTCCTCTGTCAAACTAAACCTCGAACTCCTGCTAACCTTCCTCTCTCAATCTAAGTTACACCGAGGGTGTATACTGTATAGCAGGAAATTTTCGGACGGAATATATTTTCGTACGATTTCGTACACGGCCTCTTTTGTACTAAAATTATTTCCGTACTAAAATTTGTTCGTGTGAAATTATGTACACTATACATGCGTACTGCTTGCGAACACGTGCATTTAGCCTGCAGCACTGTACGAAAATAAAATCCGTACGAAAGGTCGAATTTTGGCTTTGTCCGAAAAATATTTCCGTCCGAAAATTTCCTGCTTTACGGTATTTGGTGTTAGCAGAGAGGCTACATCGAGGGTGTATATTTGGTGTTTGCGGAGAGGCTCTGCTTTACGTGAAACATTGCCATGTTTGGAAAGGAAAATTCCCAGTATACGTTCCATGTGATTGTTGTGTGAACGGCTGAACGTAGACCAGATACGTGAAGCCCAACAATAACTTGATTACTCTAATCTCCATGTTTTGCATTTCCACGTCTCTCTCTCTCTCTCTCCCTCTCTCCTTTTCTTTTGTTCTGCTGCAGGTTTAGTAGCAATGGAGTTGGCTTCACACTACTCAAGAGTTTTGCTGAGTGTAAGGGATGAGGTTTGCTTATGTGCAAGGGTTGTTTTACAGGATTTTCCTTTCCAAGTGGGCACTACAGCCTAGCCACTTCTCGCCAATTTCCTCATCCAGCAGTGCTCAGTTGCTCAGGTCTCTCTAGTTTCTTTGCGAGGTGTTCCGGCCTTGCAATGGAGATTTAGCTAAATCTCCATGTCTTTTTCTCTGCCACCACCCCCCCCCCCCCCTTCTTACCTCATGACGGCTCCTTTTCTGTGTTCCTCTCTCTCTCTCTCTCTCTCTCTCTCTCTCTCTCTCTCTCTCTCTCTCTCTCTCTCTCTCTCTCTCTCTCTCTCTCTCTCTCTCTCTCTCTCTCTCTCTCTCTCTCGCCAATGTTCAGTTTTGGACACGGTATCGCAGTTTGTGATGCTGACCATGCTGATCTCGCTGGCGTTTGGATGGACGTTGGGCCCGCGCGATCGTGACCTCTGGGCCGACAGGAAAGTGACAGGTAGTCTCACGCTGGTGGCTGCACTCATGGTAAGACGCTGCTGCTTTACAATATTGTAGTGTTGTTTATGCATTCCGGCTCTTGTTCAGTAGACGTGCTGCGTGTGTGCGATGACAATACTTGCTCTTATACAGTGGAATGGACTATGTAGTGCTAGTGTGCGATGAGCCGATGACACATTGACACTGCATGCTTGAAAGTACACTATACCTGGGCCAGTGTGTAATCCAGCAAAGTACAGTGTACCTAGTCGCACAAAGTCCGCTGTATACTATGCTATAGATAAACCTCGCTGTTGGTCGCCGAAATGTCACATTAGAGGATAATTTTGGCGACGGCTGTGTTTCATATTGTGTTCCTAGGCGGGATTCACAGAAGCTTTTTTTGCGATGAGAATCTGGGAAATCCCCAAATCGCATCCATCTCGCTCGGCCATCGCGGAAGTTGAGCTTGGCTCAACTTTCGCGATGCGGCGAGCGACTTGGCGCACGATTTTGACCTTTTCTGCAGCAAAGTCATACAGAGGTTCAAGAGTTGCTTGTAGATTTGTAAAAGTTGTTCCAAGTCAAGCGAATACCATGGTGACGTACTCACCTGCATTGACCTTCGCGCCAAATCAGCAAAGCGACGTCGCATCGCTGACTTCTTCTGTGAATGGTGTTTCGCGAGTTTGCACTGCACGCCGCCATCGCAGGAAAATCTTCTGTGAATCCCGCTTTACTCTTGTTGCTGTGTTCTGTTGCTGCTTGCTGCGCCGCAGCTGTGGCTGTTTGCCTGGGAGCAGTCGATGGACGAGCAGCACTACGCGTACCGCTCTCACCTGACGCGGCCCGACATCCTGGCCGTCGTGCTGCGCCTGCTACTGGCCGTCGTCTTCACCATCAACCTGCACAAGACGCTGGCGGCGGAGAAGAGCTCGCTCAAGCGAGAGTTCTACAACCAATTCGCAACGGTAAGGCAGCGCTGCGACGTATCACTGGTGTGGTGTGGCATTACGTTGCTTTGACATGTTCAGTGGACAAACTCTGACACACTGCTGCCATTAGTCGACCACAGCATACAGACACCGATGCGGAAAGCTGTTTTAGCTTTCAAGTTCATTGATGACACTGAAAATGACAAGAACACTTCGCTGCAAGTTTCTCACAAACCCATTGCCGTTGACTTGTCGCCTTGCCTATCATGACACACGTTGAATAGAACTACAATGTGCAAATAATTGTTTCTACATCAATACTCCATCTGCGGACAGCATGCTGTTTCGTTCTTTTTGAACTCATCAGCGCAGCACAGAGGAAATGAGGCCGAACCTGATAGCAATGGAAATAAAAATTTCCAATCAGGCCCGAACGTACCTTGCCAGAGTGCTCAAACTGACAAGTCAGTGAGCTCTGCATAACGCAAACAGCAAAGGCACTGCCCCACGCAAGAGTGCTCAACTGCTACAAGAGCAGGAGCGAAATACTCATTCTACATCAATATAATGCTCTTGGTTTTTTGTTCAATCCCTTTGAGTGACGACAGCCATTGAAGAGAGTCACAAGAAAACATTCTGGTTACCATATTTACCCACATACAAGTGCACGCCCTTATATGCGAAAAACTGCGTTTTTCCATTTTTCATCAGGAAACAAAATGTTCCGGATACAAGTACAAGGGCATGTCTTTCAATACGAGTATTCAAGTCTTCAAAATACACTCTTGGGTCTTGGGTTTTTTTTCTTGCCTTTATATGTGGAGGTGCCCTTCTATTCGAATATACAGTCCATTCATCTGAAACAGTCCCGCTGGCTTTTGAAAGTCTGTTTTGGGCCGACTTGAGGATCAAAAACCCACTTTAAAGGGGAAGTATACCCTAAAATCAAATTTTCACCAGTTGTAGTCTTCTGGGTGCTGAGTCGAATGGTCTTGGTCCGAGGAAGCTGCGACGCTCCCTTCCTACTTGAATCCCAATCGAACTCGCGCACTTCCACCGAAACTGGGTGACTGCGCCCTACTAGATGGGGATTTGTATGCAAAATGTCACTAAAAACGCCATTTTGTTCTTATAAAAGCACGGATGACCGCGATTGGCCCATATGTTGTAGTCTTTTGGACGCTGAGTCGACTGGTTTTGGTCCGAAAAGGCTGTGATGCAGCGTTCCTCCTTTATTCCCAATCGAACATGGTTGAACAAGCGGTCACGTGCTCCTGGGTGCCCAAATCACCTGGTCACCGCACCAGCAGGCGACAACTTTCACACCAAGGTTCAACTCGAGTTCAACTCGAGTGACAGGACTGCACCCAAAAAAGGTCAAACAGGCTAGTAAGTTGTACCCTGCAGGCACGGTGACCAGCTGACTGGTGTACGCAGGAGCACGTGACCGCTTGTTCAACCATGTTCGATTGGGAATAAAGGAGGAACGCTGCATCGCAGCCTTTTCGGACCAAAACCAGTCGACTCAGCGCCCAAAAGACTACAACATATGGGCCAATCGCGGTCATCCGTGCTTTTATAAGAACGAAATGGCGCTTTTAGTGACATTTTGCATACAAATCCCCATCTAGTAGGGCGCAGTCACCCAGTTTCGGTGGAAGTGCGCGAGTTCGATTGGGATTCAAGTAGGAAGGGAGCGTTTCAGCTTCCTCGGATCAAGACCATTCGACTCAGCACCCCGAAGACTACAACTGGTGAAATTTTGATTTTAGGGTATACTTCCCCTTTAAACCTCAAAAATCTGGGTTTGGGATCTGCTTCTCCATACATTTTGCCATGGCATACCTGTCCTAAATTAGTAAGACCTGGCTGAATTTCTATTTCCTTGTTCTTGGACTTTCATGGCCTCAAATTTGGCAAGGAGTAAGTGCATGGATCACACAATGCAGGATGTACTGTTGTTTTCACGATATCTATAACTATGTGCGGGAGACACCAAAAAGTTAGGGTGCCAGTCTCCAATGAATGGACTGTAAGTGCGTGCCCTTTTATGCACGTGTATGCGGTAACCCTTATCGGGCTTATTGGAATGTGTGTGTGTTTTTTTCAATGACAGCACAGCTCATATTATTGATAGCTACATGTATATCGTAGTGTTCCATCTTTCTTTTCCTTTGCATCATATGCGCATATGTCCACGTGTATGCATGCATCCTTTGTGCGGTGTGTTGCTGTGTGTTCATGCTTTGCAGGGCTGTTACATTTGGTTCTTTGCCTATCCGTTGATCATCCTACTTGGATACTTCTTCTCAGAGTGTAGACGTCACTCGGTAGGGACTTTTCTTCAGTTTTCTGCCCGTGACGACGTGAACTGTTGTTGTGTGTATGTTCCTGCCTTATACTGTTACAACTATGGCCACTCACTGCATGTATGTTTGTCTGCAAGTTGTGCTTCTCTGTGTGTACGTGTGTACATCAGACAACTGTCATCAGTTGCGGCATGAAACTCAGAGTTACAACCAACCTGAACGTTCTCTGCTGAGTCTGCTATGTACTAAGCTTTGTCTGTGGCATTGAGCACTCTCTGCAGCTCGGGGATCAAAAGATCTGCGTACATGTGCATGTGTGCGCATATGTGTGTGTGTGTGTGTGTGCATATGTGTGTACGTGCGTACGTCTGTGTGTGCATGCATATGTGTGTTTACATGTGTGCACGTGTGTATGTGTGGTGTGTACGTGCTCTGTGCTCTGTATCTCTTGCCAACACAGCTGATCGTGATCGGTGTAGGTCTTGCACAGACCGTCGCCCTCGTGCTGCTGTGTCGCTTGTTCCTGACACGTTCTCTCTACTGGTCGGTGTCCTCTCTCGGCGGGCCCATGCTGCCGCTACGGGCCGAGTCCTCGTCGCTGCGCTCCGACACCACTTTCCAACAGAAGTCCTACGGCTCGAGCGTCTACCGTGCCAACTCCTACACGTAGCATTGCGGCGTGTGCGTAGGGTACCGTGCTGTCCCTCTGCCTCTGCGTGTGCGTAGGGTACCGTGCTGTCTCTCTGCCTATTTCTCTCTAGGACTCTGCCTTGACTGCCTTAGGGCTTGGTTGGTCTGGTCTGTGTGTACTGATGCAAGTAACTGCTGTGCTCTGGCCAGGAAACGGTGCAGGCGCTGGTGCTCCATTGCCACTTAACCTTCAGCATCGTGTTACTCAACAGATGTTATCAGCAGCAGCAGCTGTATTAAGCACGCCTTGACCTGCCCTCCCGGAGACCGGCGGATAGACATCGCTGTGCAGGCCGGGACTGGTCGGATATTCCCTGCGGCACGTGTTTGTACAGTGTGGGTGGCCGAGTGGAACATGCCATGCAGAATTCCCAGCATCGCAACATGTCTCCGTAGTGTGTCGGCTACGTAGCTACTCTGCACCATAGCAAACTTGTCCACAGTTAGCTGCCACATATATCAGTGTGTCGGCTACGTAGCTACTCTGCACTATAGTAAACTTGTCCACAGTTAGCTGCCACATATATCCAGGAATACATATCACTCAACTAGTCGGCCGGCCGACGACGTAGCATGCCGGCTCATCAGTGTAATGTAGCTCCCGGCTCGGCGACTGCGCCGTAAGTACAGTGGTGTTGAGCAACTCCAGTATTGCTCAGAAGTGTCCAACACACTTTAGGACTACAGTATCAGCCCTCCTACAGGTATGTGCATGGTCTGCAAACGAGTTCCTGACTCGCCCAACGAGCTACTGCTGTCCTTGTTTACGCTGTAGTTGCATCTTCCGTATGCTGTATCCCGTTTGCTCTCTTACAGTGCACACTGGATTCCTTGAATACACTCTGTAACTTACATTGCTGGCATATACTTCAGAAATAGTTGCTCACCGCACACACAGTCAAGGTTGTTTGCACCCATACTAGCTGGATTCTACATTGTGTTTTCAATTTTAATTTAATCATCATAATGCCAGCTCTCCGCGGGTGAATTCTCGACTGTATTTGACGTGAAGTCCTGCAAAAATTGTGAGCGGCATGGCCAATTATTGTCACGGTCTACTTGTGTATTGTGTGATCCAGCCAAACATACAAGAAGACCCTGTGTTTCCATGTGTGCGTGTGCGCGCGTGCGTGCGTGTGGTGAGAGCCGGAGAGAGACAGAGACGCAGTCATATCTGCACAAACTCATCTTGGGGAGAAAGACGGAAATACAGTCATGTGAGTAATAAGGAGAGTTGGGGGGGGGGGGGGACACTGGTTTCGCCATAGGGTGAAAATTAAAGTGTGCATTTGTGTATCTCGTGTAGACCTACAGCATATCCTTTGAAATCCAGTCCAAGGAGTAGCAAGAGTTCATAACTCAAGTCAAGAGTTCATGACCCCAGTCAAGAGTTCATCATAGTTCATGCCCCCAAGTACAGTCGGCCACAAGTGACAAGGCATAACACCAAGAGTTCATAAACTGTTTATGGACTCTTGATAACACGTGGAATTTTACTTATGGATTCTTGTGTCACTGGTGCAACCCTCATCATGTAGCTGTGATAGAAGTAGACTACATGTATGTCGGTCCGTTGCCCACATGTTCGGCTTGACCAAAAAGGGCAAGATATGTCCAAAAACAAGGAGCTCCGGAGTGCTACTACCAAGAGTTCATAACTGGGGGTTATGAACTCTTGCTACTACATATACGTCATTGAATTTGTACTGCTACTGGTACAATCATCTTCATAATTTTGTACTACTCACAAATGCAGCCATATGGCCACGCATACAAAAATTCCTCAGCTTCGACTTCGAACTTCGCCCTTGGGCGCGGTGGTTCATTTGTTGCGGCGGGAAATGAACTCTATGAAACTTCGATGGTCCTCGATCAATCATGAATCTGCAGCATGGATAGCTATCCCGGCTCTGATTATTTTCATGTTTCGCCCTTTCTTCTGGCTGGCCTGATTCTGAAAGGAATCTGGACGATGTTGCTTTCTGAATAATGATACAGGAGAGCCCGTCCCTCTTCCAGTTGATTGCAGATTTTGAGGCTGCCCTCTTCTCCAGAGGCCGAGTTGCTGCAAGTATATTGTAGTTGTGAGCTTCGAGACGTTTGAGGTCAATTCGAAGAATCATGGACACGGCAATCATGGAGAAGGCAATTGCTTTCGGACAATCGGTGATCACGCAGCAGGTGGTCGAGGATGACCTAGAACCAGTCGAGCACGGCCGTTTCTTCTTCATCGTCTACACCGTCTTCTACAAGCTGTGGCGAGCACTGTATTTCTTCACTAGGATTTGCACGACGTTTTTCTGCGTGCTAGCCTCAGTCCTGCTTCTTATCGCTATCCTGAACGGTGTAGTTGGCTTCATCTTCAACTTTTACCAGCCTGAGGCGCTGAACCTGAGTAACTCGTTCCTGGTCAATATGTCTTGCCTGTTGCTGTCGCTGATCGCGCTTGTACCCATCACTAGTCTGATATGGATAGCATTTCACATGATTCCCGAAGTATGGTCAGCGGATGAGATGCCAGGGGCTAGAATAATGATAAAATACATCATGTCGGATCTGAAGGATGCCAGCATGCATTCGTTCGGTCGCAAGGGGTCTCTGTGTTTCCAGTTCCTGAAGCTGCTCACGTTCACAGTGGCACTCATCGTTTCCCTGTCGATCAGTGACGGCACCACGTACGGCATCATCGAAGTGTTTGTGTTAGCCGGCTGCAGCATTGGTGGATTGATCTACGCATTCTGGCTGCCATTGGTGATCATCACCGAGCTTGCCAAGTACCACAAGAAAGACCTGGTCTTCCCGGACGCGCGCGCCTATCGCAGCCTGAAGCAGGTGAACTCCAGCACCAAGGACAGCATGGACGTCACGCAGGGCAGGTCCAGTTGCGGCACGTTCGTGATCGGCTTTGCCATGATCACGCACGGTCTGATCACCATGATCATTCTGCCCATCACCATGCAGGGTATTGGCAGTACGAGCGGGGCCATCGCCGGCGCCTCCATCTGCCTCATCGTCTTCACGTTCTTGTCCTACTGGGTGTTCTTCTCGTCGCACTGCATCTCCGCCGATGTCATTCCCAGTCCCAACGAGGAGCCCGAGGTGGTGCTCACCATTGAAAAGAACCTGAAGCTGCTGAGCTTCGAGCCGCTGCCGCCGCGCAAGCTAGTGCGCAACGTAGCACTGATCCTGGCCACCATTGGTGTTTCCATAGCGATGCTGGTGCTCGCCACCCAGTTCTCACGCTCGCTGTTTGACGACACGTGCAATCCACGCTCCATGCTGGGTATCGGCGGCAGCGAGTTTCCGAACGGCACGCGGACGCCGGACCAGTACAGCTCGGAGATCAAGAGCAGCGTGTGCCACCAGCGCTGGCACACCAGTCAGCTGACGGCACTCGACATGGCCTTCCTGGCGCAGGCGGCGTACGAGGACAACGCCAACAACCGCGGCGGCGCCTGCAGCACGCTGTCGGCGGTGACGTGGCTCAACGACGTCTACAGGTACACACAGGTGAACGGCGTGTCAGGCGCCGACTGGGAAGTACGCTCCGTGTACGGCAAACACACCGTGGTGCATTACTACGAACTGTACAGTAAGAGTCGGCAGGTGACTGTGTTTGTGGTGCGCGGCGAGCTCAGTGATCGCACCGCTGACATCCTGGAGACGTTTGACATGTACGCGCCCGCCGCCTGCTTCCAGTTCTTCTCGTTCTTCGTGCCACTGTCGTTGTCGCTGCCGGCCAGCAAAGTGTCCAACCTTCTCTACTACGTATCGTTCACGGACCGTCTCTTCTCTCGCCCCCTGCCCACATACTACGAGGTGGTCGGCAAAGCAATCCGTCAGGCCATGGACCGCACCAGCACTCATCCGTGGCACGTTGTCGACAAGAACAGTGTCTACGTGGTTGGACACGGCCTCGGCGGTGCAGTGGCCAAAGCGGCTGGGTCCGAGTCCAGCATCAACATCACGTCGGTCTCGTTCAACGGCCCCGGTCTGCTGTTCTCGGCCAGGAGCTTCGGCCTCAGTGCATCCACTGTCGAACAGAATGTGAACAACATTGTCGTGACGGATAATCGTTTTGCTCTGCTGCTGGACAGCCTTGGTGGCAGCACGTTCCGCATTGACTGTCTCAAGGGAAACCTGGCTAGCTGCCATCATATGAAGGCCATCATCTGTAAGCTGCTGTCGCTGTGTGGATTTCCCAACTACAATTTCATGTGTTAGCTGGCGATGGCACATGACTGAATGGCTACCATGCACGTGTGTGCATACATTATACACATACATACACACGCTCAGATGCGAACGTGCTCGTTCAGCGCTGCTTTCCTGAACTAAGTTCTCGCTACGCTGTGCGTACGCGCTGGTATATGCTAGTGAAACCCTGCTGCACGTCGTCTTGCAGGTGAATTATGTACTATGCATGAGATGAGAATACAACCACAGCATCCGGTATGAAACAGTGTGATATACACTATCACACGCCAATCGCCATGCATCAATAGGCTTGCAAAGTGCCCCTCTCTCGCACCGATGTCAATGCCCGTGTCGCGTCCCCTGTCAATGACTAACCCAAATTGCTTTCCTTGTTACTCCGCCGACAACTTTACTTCATGTGTTCTATTTTCCTGAGTAGTCATACCGAACCTTTTACGACTCAATCCCACTGCCATCATCATGATCCAGAGCTGATCGGAACTCTGTTTATCTATAGTTTTGAAAATACTCTCGCCCACATGACGCCTCTGTGTCTATAGTATCATTTCAAAGGTTTTTCCAGTATTAAAGTTATTATAAAACTCTTAGCAAAGTTGGCAAATTACTCAAAAATCTTAGCACAGGTTTTTTTATGTTTACTCAGCTCACTCAACACTCATTTTTAGTTATTACTTACCTAGTATTACTATTAGTTTGCATACTTCAAATTACGTTCATACAGATTTCATGGTAGATAATGTTGTACATTGTAGTGCTATAACAGGATCACAATGTTTCTCCATGCCAATGATTGTGCTGGTGTGTTACATGGCGACACGATGCAGTTCTAATTTCCCTGTTGGCTAACAGCCATCGTGGAGGATGAGAATAATTCCCAGTGTGCAGGAAGTGTCTGTCTGTCAGGACTGAGTAGGAACCAAGAACCGATAGCTTGGCTATGGACTCTTCCTAGTCCCTACAAGGCTACAGAACCCCCGTGTCAGAGTACAGTTAATCTACTGCTGGTAGCAGGCAACTACGCTATCATCGCTATGTACAGTCATGCAAACAACAGGGTATGAAGTGCTTGTAGGACTTGGAATGCACCCCTGAATACTGTAGTCTGCAACAAGCGTGGATGTGTGCATGATGGGGAGGCTGCAGGACATTATTGTAGACAAGTATATTAAATTATTAGTACTTGTACATTCAAGTCCATTTTCCAAAACGAAAATTATAATTATACAGGTACAGCTCGGGAGTACAGTGCTCAAAATATACCAGTCAAAAATGGAATTCGCATCACAAAAAGCGCATATATTCTGTGGTGTAATTCGGGGGTTGGGATACTGTAAATATACAAATTTTCGGCAGCTATTTAATTTCGGCTATATTCGGCACCGACCCAAAACGCCTAAATTAAAACGCCGATGAAATTGTTCACAGCATCTGTCGCACTATACCATGCCCTCTACCCCACGCCGAAAATAAATCGCCGCCGAAATGTCAAAAATCGTGAAGTACCGAAATTTTGCAGCGCCGAAATTTTGTATATTTACAGTATTACAAATTTACAATAGCCTTATATTGACTCGAAGATGAAATTTGATATGAGATAAGATGCCAACGCTTTGCATCAATTATCCAGCAATTTTCCAGCAGGAAGTGTGTACTTTCTACAAAACGTCTGGCCAGGTGTACAGTTGCACTGCAGGATCAGGAGCTGTCAAGCAACGCCTCAAACTCCTTCGCCTTGTCCGGATAGAGACGCCCGATGACGGTCAGGAACTTGGCAAACGAGTCACGGCCGTGCGGCACGATGTACGTCAGAAGCAGTGTGTTGTGTGCAATGGGGCCTTGCTGTTGTACCGCCTGCAAGGTCAAGATCATCTCCTCAGCCAGCAGGCCAGCGAATATCGCCTCGTTGCGCAGAATCTCCGAATCGATGCGCAGAATCCAGCCGCGGTAGCTCCTGTCGTGAAATAGAGGGTGTTTCCAGGGATCTACACAACAGTAAGACAAGTGAGCCACACCCGGTCCCCAGATTAGCACACAGCATGCAAAAGAATTGATCATCTTTGCTACAGCAAACCCACGGCAATTGAATACGTGCATTTAAGTTAATGTCCCCAGCTCCCTCACCCCGTTTTGGTTGAACTTTCTTCCGACCAGTGTCGAAGCTATCTACCCTCACGCAAAGCTCACTGTGTTTCTCCCAGCTAGAAAACTCCGGGGTTGATGCTTTGAGTCAGATAAAAAAAAAATCTGTTGTGCACTGGTCTTCATTGTTATTAGTTCGGCCAGTCACTCTAATCTCTGTTGATAAGACCAGTAACACGGTTGCAACTGATAGCTGTCTGGAGGCAGAGTGTAGCTTGGTTGCCAACGTACCCACCCACACCTACAGTACATTCATAAAAAATATGATGACCTAGCTTTTGGCCATAAACGGGTCAAATTTTGAGTTTTCACACTTTCTTTGAAATCCCCCATGGAAGATTCAAATTTCTCCCCACTGTACCATGTACGATAAAATAATGAAAAATCACCAAATACAGTACAGGAGCTCGCTAGAGCCAGCGCTCATCTTTTTTTTTATGAATGGACTGTAGATGTCAATAACTTCATGACGGATCATACACGGGGAAGTCTGCACATATGTATGGTGTGCTAATGCTCTTACCGTCCCTGTCAGCCGCAGAACGCGCTGCATCGAGCGACTCAGACTGCGCACGAGTGACAGAGCGGACGAGGTCAGGCAGTGCCGGATGCGGCACTGGCTCCGACTGCATGTGGCCGAGGTGCGAGGTCGCCAGACTGTGTTGCGGCTCGGAGCGAGTGCGGTTCAAGCCAGCAGGTATCCGCCGCTGGTCTAGCGGGTCAAGCTGATTGGATGGTACGGAAGAGGAGCAATCGCTCATCAGCTGGTCTACTTCATCCACAGCATCACCATAATCATCGCAATGAGCATCGGATACATGCGACGGCGAGATTGATACAACTGTTGTTGTTGCTTTCTCTGTACTAGATGTGGGCTGCCATGCTTCGTCAGCAGAGTCATTCTGTACACAGAGATCAAGCCGTGGAATTCGGAATACTGAAGTCCGCCACTTTTGAAAACCATTCTGAATGTGCCAACATCAAACACTTCACAGAAACCATGCCAAGACGGAGTGTGACATATCCAAACATTGCCAGAAAAGCCATCAGGTAAACGTTCATGCCAGCAAACAAGGCCCTGATGAAGACATTCCCTCTGGCCATACTAACCCTTTCCTCGTCTTGGAGGCCGTACGTGCCTTCCTTCTGGCAGGTGTCTGAGCACACACGAGGACATGAAAGCAACACATTTATTGCCAGTGGGAGGTTTGGGAGGTGTGTAGAGAGAGGGAGAGAGAGAGAGAGTGAGTGAGTGAGTGAGTGAGTGAGTGAGAGAGAGAGAGAATGGAGAAAGAGAGAGAGTGAGCATGACTTCGCCAACGGTGGCAGTTTGCACGTCAGGAAATTCGACAGTAGTGCAATAACATGTTATCGGAATCGTTGCATGGTTCACATAACCGCAGGGTGACAGTACACATCGCAGTGATACGCGGCCACTCGATGCACATGTAGAAATGTACGTTCGTTTTTTAGCTCTTTAAAAGTTAATAGAGAGGTTCCGGGGTACGATTTTCCGTGCCAAAATCCGTATGGGCGCTACGGATTTTTCCAGGCGTGCTCCATACGATTTTTCGGCACGAGAATCCGTGTGGACTGGCTTTCATACGAACCATGCTTCGTATGGAGATTTTGCGTCATCGGGTGCAGAAAGATTTTTCGCGTACAAATTTGGTACGAGAAACATCGATTTTTCGCGGGAAGTTTTGATCTCGGTACAAATTTTCAAAATAAAAAGGCATAGCGCGGGAATGTGACGTGTTTGCGATCGTAACCTAGGCAATGACGGCAAACACATAAGTTCCGTACCCCGGAACTTTTCACTGCTCGAAAACGACGTATAAAAAATCCGTAGAGCCTCCACGGATTTTGGCACGAAAAATCGTACTCCGGAACCTCCCTAATGATAGCTTGCATGCCCTCCTACCGGTAGGACCCAAGAAATCATGCTGCAAAAGTGCTTTCGGTTGAGAATTTTTTTGAAAATTGTTGAGATGAGGTCCGGCTTTATAAGGCAAAGCAATGGCGCAAAATGCGAGACTATGTCCAGAGCATTGCACAGGTGCAATTAATATTTTATCAATTGCCAAAATAAGCCCATTGTGCATCGCCAAATATGGAAGGTATGAGTAATACATGTGAGTACACTGGGATCAGGAATGCACTAAACACCCCAGACGACCATGCCCAGGTGGCTGCTGTGAGTGCTGTCTGGGGTGTTTATGCTACAAATTACGTCATTGCACAATGGGCTTATGGCCGCACATGCTCCTGTCGGAGCGCTAGAAACTCCGTCCAAAGTAAATTTTGACCACGGCACATCGATCGTGGGGTGAGGACCTAATGTCTTTCTCAGCCTGCCATGGCAATGGAATCTAAAATTCCATACTCCATTGCCATGGTTACCATGGGCTGTTGCCATGGAATATTGAAATATGCCTTGTACGATCACGTTTAAAATGTGTCGACTCCTTGATTAGCCCCTGAGGCCGCGGTCTCACCAAGTTCAGCCGTTTTTGGCTTGCGCTGAAAGTGGCTTGCGACTAGCCAGCTGATGGTCACACCAAAACTGGCTGACGAGGGTTTTCCCAGTTTTTTTTATGTGGAGGATGACCCCTGTGCCCAGTATACGTGATTTGCGCACACACTACGTCCTAATTTTGAATCTCAAAGTGGGCCTCGTCGTGGATGGAAGGAGAAGTAGGGATCTGGAAAATAGATAGAAAGAGAGAGGAGTAGAGAGAGAGAAGAGCGATTTGTCACAGTGGATTGAGAATGGATTCGGAAACGAAGAGCCGCATCGCTATCTGTATTTTATTATGTACAATGGTGATGATCCGAATAATTTCCCCTGAGAATCACCTCACTTTGCCGATGGTGACGAATACCAGGCTTTGTCGCCGGAGGAAGCGGCACTTTTTCGACTTTGTTGATGAAGACGGCCCCGGCTTCATTCGCAGAAAACTTTTTCAGTTCTGCGAAGATCCAGGCTCGTTTGCTCGTATCCTTTTTCATTGTCGTCTGATATCGCGCTTTTGCTTCGTGCCGCAGCTCGAGCAATCGGCGCTCCAGTCCCACGCTCCGACTATCCATGGCTGACAACGAAAACCTTCAAACACTTCACACAACTACGGTACAATACAGAAGAAGAAACTATCTGATTACAACAAACGTCAACTCATGTTCTTCAACTCATCTTGCACTGTTGCACTTCAGCCAAAATTATTCAGCCACTTTCAGCTTTTCAGCGCTTCCAAAAGGGCTGAAAGCTGAAAGTGGCTTGTGCCCCGATTTTCAGCCGTTTCCTTGGAAACCTCAGCCGAAAAAAGCGCTTTTTTTGGCTGAACGGCTGAATCGAGCTCGGTGTGACCGCGGCCTTAGCAACAATTCATGGGTCAAGTTTCAGGTCAATGTTAGCCTTAGAACAGAGGCCGTGCAGCATGTCTGTGTATGATGGTCCTACCAATAGGACCGAGTATAACAGGAAGCATACTAGCTCCACTCGACACTACACATCAAACTCACTCTTTCTGGATTAACCAAGAACTGAGGGGAAACCCTCGTATTGGCCAGCTTCATATTTCAGAATAAAATGTAGGGAGTCTCATTCGACTTCCTGCTGTATCCGAAGTACGGTGTAAGAGGAAGAATACGGATGTGTAGTTGTGTAGTTGGATGGCAAATGAAGTGTGTTCCTAAACGTGGATCGTGCGTAGAGTACTAGCTGTTCATGATACATGAATAATAACGAGAGAGCTTGGAAGCTCAGGACCCTACGCTATGCTTTTTGCCTTGAAGACCTAGACAAAAAAAAGCATAGGGATGTTATAAATTCTTTAAAAAAATCCTTTTTTTAAGACATAACCTGGGATTCGAACCCGCACTATCGCGCGCTCTGCATGCATCCCCCGATACACTTCGCATACATACTAATTCTTCCAAGTTGCTTCACCACCAAGTTGCTTCACATTGTGATCTTGCATTTGAAAGCCCTATATGAATATGCATTGTGGCCAGCCGTCTTTGATGGTACGGTACGGTAGGTGATACGATCGAGGGTAATACGACACCGTCTCCCGTACCGTACCGTACCGTACAATCAAACACAGCTGGCCACATACAGCTGCCCGCAATATTCAAATAGGGCTTTCAAACGCAAGATCATAACGTGAAGCAACTTGGAAGAATGGGTATGAATGCGAAGTGTATGGGGGAATGCATGTAGGGCGATAGTGCGGGTTCGAATCCCAGGATATGCCTGAAAAAAAATAGGAGAATTGAAAAATTTATAACATCCCTATGCTTTTTTTGCCGTCAGATACGGGATAGCGCCAGGCGTGACACAAACAAACAAACAAACACACAAATACCAAATTAAAGCTGTGTGGACCCTGGCTAGCGCCAGACGTTACTGAAGTAACGTCTTCTGCATAGCTACGGGAATAATTAATTTGGGTATCACAATACAGAGCATGCATACATGCGGAAGGAGTGTAGATAATTACGACGAAATGAGAATGGAAAGCCAACGAGAATGGGAGAAACAGTCTCTAAGACCATTCCCGTCACACCGAGGTCTATGCGAGCTATTCGATTAACGATGAGATGGTGCATGGATAGCATAGCGGCTATGATAGCTGCCGCTTACCAACAAAGCTTGCTTGACCTTACCAGTGTCTGTTAGCCTGTAGGTGACCCTGTTCAGAATGTCCAGAATCATCGGTGTGTTGACTTTCATATCTCTGAGATGCTGCTGTAGCTCACCAATGCTAAATGAATACAACACACGCACACATGCACACACACGCATATGTACGCCAGTGCGAGTGCGTGCACACATGCACACACGTGCACCATACTTGGCAACATTGGCATGACCTCCGCCTTGTCACCATGCCGCTATTCACAGTACCCCGCATGCATCTAACAAACAAGGAACTCGATTGCCAGGCCCATCGGAACCAGCCCGGTCGGTCATCTCATCTCATCTCACCACCGGACCAACTACAGTCCGTTTCAAAAAGATTTACAACCCTGGCGATCGCCCGCGGAGTTTGGCGTCTTACCGTATGAGCACTCGAGCGCTGCCTGGAAAAACTCACTGTGAACTCGAAGAAATATTCCGCGCGAAAGGAGGAAAAATGACAACTCACTCACGTTGACACAGTCATGGACGTACGTCTGGTTTACAACAAACGAGTTCTTCCTCGTATCGATAATGGAGTCAGAGAGGACATGTCGAAACGAAAGTGTTGACGAGCGGCATGTGTCCCAATCCGTTTTGTGACCAAAATAGTTTCTTTGAGCTGCGATGCAATTTACTCACCGTGTGACGAAAACGACATCGACACGGACTCATTCCCAAGGCCATGACTTGGCAAAGCTATCCGTGTGACTTCGACGACATTTTGAGAAAAACAGACGCTTGTGAACGCTGATAGAAGACGGCGTTGACTGCTAAATTCAAATAAATTGGCGATCTTGAAATACTAAAAATAAATCTCAAAAAGCTACAGCGCGATGACTTCCATATTCACTCACACCATTGCAGTGTTGTGGGTGTGTTCACATGGCGTGAGCCAGTCAAGTGTCAGTCAGTTCGGCAGGAAGCGCGACCTCCAACAACAAGTCGTTTGGTGCAGCCATCTTCTTTGTCTTGTACCAGCTTGATCACCAAAACAATGAAAAAAAGTTTGACTTGAGGATAGGTTGGGATTTGAACTCACAACTTCATGGTCAGCAGACAGCATTCATAACCACAAGGCCAAAAGGAAAGGATAAATTGTGGGTTTTGATAAAAAATCGATACTGGCTTCCTGGGCAAATTGTAAACCATGGGAAAAGGCCGGAAACCTGGCCGAAATTCTAACTCCTTAACGGTTGGTCCAATTGTTCCGAAACCTTCACAGAACAATTTGCCGTGTCCTAACAAGCCATTCTATGTACAGTAAGTATCGTTTATAAAGTGACCGGATATAATGATATACCGGTTATAGTGATAGAACACGTCAAAATCAAAATCAAATCTGAAAAAATACAGCTAAAATATCACTATATACACTATTATCGGCTATACCGATATATCGCTTATTGTGATGGCCTTCAGGAAGCAAACCATATCAAATGTACAGGAAAATATCGCATATAATGATCAAGAGTGATCTTTCTGCATGCTCTTGTCCGTTTCTGGCTGTGTTGCCTCTCACGATGATGTTGCCAACTCACGTACACAGCCACTCATGTCTATTTCTGGCTCTACGCAACTCGTTGGACACCGAGTAGATCTACGATCTACGTGACCACGGATCCAGCTCAGGCTTTTTTTGGAGAACACGCTGAAGAAGCAGCCATGCCACATGATGTATCGAAGTTCTAGTACATGTACAGTCTGTACTCGTACTGCACTGCCATGCACTGCTCTGTGTCATGCACCGGTACACAGTCCGCGGAGCATGCATGCACTTTCAGCATGCTTTTTCCAGCGTGTACGCATCATTTCATGTGCAGTCATGTGCCATGTGTCGGTCAAACATGCAAATCGGCTATAGTGATGCATCGGATATAGTGATACATTTTCGAAAATCAAAGGGGCACGTTATATCCGATATTTACTGTACTTTGTTGTCCAATTTTCCCTTATCTTCATACTTTTTAAGACCCAAACCTGATTGTAAATCTTTTTGAAACAGACTATAGTTGTTTGAAGAAGGGCTGAGGCTTCCTGCAGCTTCATCTGTGAAAAGAATTCGGGTGGACACACCCATTCCCATAGCGCTGCATATCACATCCGAACCAGTTCCGTTATTTTACAACGTTTCGGCACTTGGCCATCATCAGGTAATAACAATGAATACCGTGGAAGCCACACAAGAGCAGTATATACGCAGAGTGTAGCGCCAAAAAAGATGCGAATTATGTCACCTAGTATGACAGAGAGAGAGAAAAGGCGCAACTAGCACATCACGGAGGAGAAGCAGCAGAAGGTAGCGCGCATTGTGCTCTGTGAATGGCGTTGCACAGAGTGTAGCGCCAAAAAATAAAATGATGCGAGTTATGTCACCTCTATACAGAGGGGGGGGGGGGGGGGAAGAGAGAGAGAAGGTGCAACTGTGCACATCACGGAGAAGAAGAGCGCGCCGTTGTGCTCTACGAAGTGAGGGTACATGCCAAATAATTATGGTGTTAATTCTAGCACAGGATCTAGGAGGGGAGCACGGAGCCCCATGAGTCAATGCACTATGAGGTTAAAACTTCCATGCCAAACTGTTACCACCAGGGACGCGACGAGGCATCAGGAATAGAATGGTTTTGAGTGACCCGCCTCATATTATAATTATTCAGTGATATTGAAGTAGCAGCAGGGGAAGCTGAGAAAATTCACAACAAATCCCATCCGGTGCTTATGTTCACATGGGGCTTGGCATCACGAATCTCAATCGCCTCGCGCAGTTTGCGACGGGCTCGATCAGGCTCTCTTCCTATTACTTCAACTGCAGAGAATGCACTTTGCCCATAGTTAAGCTTACATCCAGGGTGAGTGGTGCGAAAATGTTGGCCCCATGGCTTGTCGAGTTCCTGGCGTCTTGCCTCACCATTATGTTCTTCCAGGCGAGTTTCCAGAAAGCGGCCAGTCTCACCAACATATTGTTCCGGACATTCTTTGCACTTCAGCTGATATACAACATTCTTCTGCATACATACATCCTGTCCCCCGGATATACACGAGATACATGGCCCCTTTGGGCGACCTCTCTTTTTCGGTTGTAGCGGATTTGCAGCCTTGACACATAGAGGAGGAACGAGGGCGGAGCGACACAATGTGCGCCTCAGGCTACCAGTGTGCTCATATACGACTCTAACCGGAATTTTATACTTTCTGATTGCTTTATTCACTGCTTGATGTACTTTATCTGACTTATATGGAAGCTTTAGAAATGCGCAGCATGGGTTGGCATGGCGACGACGCTTTGGCCTTATGGAGGCAGTGCGTGCCTCTTCAATGATTTTCTCTGGGTAATTGTTCAATCTTAATTGCTCATGAACCATCGCTTCACTTTCTGCACGCATTCTGGTATTCGATGAGAGCCTCTGAGCTCTTAGGAATTGTGACGAAGCAACTGCCAATTTGATATGGTGGGGAACTGCCGAAGTATAATCAATGAGTAGACCACTAGCACATGCCTTCTGGTACAGCTTGTATGCCAGCTTGCCTTCCTGGATCATAATTGTGATATCCATATAATTTATGGAGCCACTCACCTCGCTGAGCTCATATGTGAAGTTGATACTTGGGTGTGCAGAGTTGAAAAGCTGCACAAACCGCATCAAGCTCTCTCTGCCGTGGGTCCATAGCAGCAGGATATCGTCGATGTAGCGTTTGTAGAGGAGCGGTACTAACGGAGAATCCTGCAGAAGCCTGGCCTCAACCGTATGCATGAATAGAATCGCAAATGGGGGTGCAAGATTGTTACCCATTGCAACCCCGTCCACTTGGTGATAGATCTGATGGCCGAATCTGAAATAGTTGTGGCTGAGAACAAACAGCAGCAGATTCCGTACCCCGCTCACACTCAGCCCAAACATGTCGATCCGCTGGGAATACTGCTGCAGCATATCCACCACTGCCTGAACGCCCTCCCGAATAGGTATGCTCGGATATAACCCGACTACATCCATGGACATAACAATGGTGCCATCGGGGGCGTTCAATCCCGGACATGCGTCACAGATGTGGGTTATTGCTTCCGTCGTGTTAGCCAGGTGGGCCGGGACAAATTGAATGAGCTGCTGTAGGATGCGCTCCAATACAATAGATACTCCAGTCGTTGGGCTGTCGCACGCTGCTACCACGGGTCGCAATGGTAAGTTCTGCTTATGGTCCTTTGGAAGACCGTACCACTCGGGGAACTTCGTACTGCTTGGTAGGATTGACTTTAGGAGTTTTGAATCCATGTTCTTGCACTCTGACAGTATTACTTCTCGTGTCTTGGTCTCGTAGGACTCTATGGTCAAATCTACTTTCTCATACATGGTCATGTTCGATAATATGTCTTCTGCTTTCTGCAAATACAGCTCCTGTCTCATAGCAACGAGTTTTTTACTTTTATCCGATGTTTTGATGATGGTTTCTTGGTCTGTGCGAAGTCGCTTCAGCTCCACCCGCTCCTCCTGCGTCAGATTGGGCTTAGAGGGTGTGTGTCTGTCGTAAGCTCGTAACACCTCGTCGCGGAAGTTGGCCATGTTCCTTTCGTCTTTGTCGTCCATCTGTGGGGGCTGCTTAAAGCCACGCTTCATCAGCTTCCACAATTTCTTGTCCTGTCTCATCTCTGGCGGTGGGTCCTCCTCTTTGAGGTCCACACCCTGAGGCTGGGGCTGTTGCCACCGGAGGGTGAACGCCATCCTCTCAACCGATGTCTCAACATCTGTTCGTTCTTGCTTGGTGAGCCTCCCCGTCGACGGGACAAAGCTAGGTCCATGTTCCAGCAGACGCCTTGTCTGGTCGGACACACAGTCGCCCACCACCAACGCCCGCTCATTGACTGGCTCAGCATTGGTCGTATGCCCACCGGGTGACGCAACACCAACGGCGGCAACAGGAGTTGGGCCGCGGGGTGAGCTGTTGGTTCCCGCCACACGTTGATCCGCCTCTCGAAGCCCAGAAATCTTCCGATTTAGTCTGGCGTTGGAACTTATTCGTTCTTCGGTAACCACTGCACGTTGAAGAGAACGGATCAATAGGTAGTCCGACTGTGTAAACGTCCACAGTTGCTCTCTAGACTGCTTGTATCGCCTCCCGCGGTAATCTTTCTCTGCGCATTTGTCTTCGATGGCATCGCAGAGAAGACGGCGGCAGTACTGATGTCTCCTGTGTTCTCTGATGGTCTTGTGACTCGTTGATGCTGGCTTCCGCACACAATTCGAAATAAATCTGGGGATCAATCCCTCTCGCCGGCACTGCAAAAGAAAAGACAATTGACACTCGCTCCTCTGCAGCTTCCAAGACCATTGTACAAACCGCCACGCTGCCTCGCTCCGGGAAGAGGAGAACCAAGTTTGAAGAAGGGCTGAGGCTTCCTGCAGCTTCATCTGTGAAAAGAATTCGGGTGGACACACCCATTCCCATAGCGCTGCATATCACATCCGAACCAGTTCCGTTATTTTACAACGTTTCGGCACTTGGCCATCATCAGGTAATAACAATGAATACCGTGGAAGCCACACAAGAGCAGTATATACGCAGAGTGTAGCGCCAAAAAAGATGCGAATTATGTCACCTAGTATGACAGAGAGAGAGAAAAGGCGCAACTAGCACATCACGGAGGAGAAGCAGCAGAAGGTAGCGCGCATTGTGCTCTGTGAATGGCGTTGCACAGAGTGTAGCGCCAAAAAATAAAATGATGCGAGTTATGTCACCTCTATACAGAGGGGGGGGGGGGGAAGAGAGAGAGAAGGTGCAACTGTGCACATCACGGAGAAGAAGAGCGCGCCGTTGTGCTCTACGAAGTGAGGGTACATGCCAAATAATTATGGTGTTAATTCTAGCACAGGATCTAGGAGGGGAGCACGGAGCCCCATGAGTCAATGCACTATGAGGTTAAAACTTCCATGCCAAACTGTTACCACCAGGGACGCGACGAGGCATCAGGAATAGAATGGTTTTGAGTGACCCGCCTCATATTATAATTATTCAGTGATATTGAAGTAGCAGCAGGGGAAGCTGAGAAAATTCACAACAAATCCCATCCGGTGCTTATGTTCACATGGGGCTTGGCATCACGAATCTCAATCGCCTCGCGCAGTTTGCGACGGGCTCGATCAGGCTCTCTTCCTATTACTTCAACTGCAGAGAATGCACTTTGCCCATAGTTAAGCTTACATCCAGGGTGAGTGGTGCGAAAATGTTGGCCCCATGGCTTGTCGAGTTCCTGGCGTCTTGCCTCACCATTATGTTCTTCCAGGCGAGTTTCCAGAAAGCGGCCAGTCTCACCAACATATTGTTCCGGACATTCTTTGCACTTCAGCTGATATACAACATTCTTCTGCATACATACATCCTGTCCCCCGGATATACACGAGATACATGGCCCCTTTGGGCGACCTCTCTTTTTCGGTTGTAGCGGATTTGCAGCCTTGACACATAGAGGAGGAACGAGGGCGGAGCGACACAATGTGCGCCTCAGGCTACCAGTGTGCTCATATACGACTCTAACCGGAATTTTATACTTTCTGATTGCTTTATTCACTGCTTGATGTACTTTATCTGACTTATATGGAAGCTTTAGAAATGCGCAGCATGGGTTGGCATGGCGACGACGCTTTGGCCTTATGGAGGCAGTGCGTGCCTCTTCAATGATTTTCTCTGGGTAATTGTTCAATCTTAATTGCTCATGAACCATCGCTTCACTTTCTGCACGCATTCTGGTATTCGATGAGAGCCTCTGAGCTCTTAGGAATTGTGACGAAGCAACTGCCAATTTGATATGGTGGGGAACTGCCGAAGTATAATCAATGAGTAGACCACTAGCACATGCCTTCTGGTACAGCTTGTATGCCAGCTTGCCTTCCTGGATCATAATTGTGATATCCATATAATTTATGGAGCCACTCACCTCGCTGAGCTCATATGTGAAGTTGATACTTGGGTGTGCAGAGTTGAAATGCTGCACAAACCGCATCAAGCTCTCTCTGCCGTGGGTCCATAGCAGCAGGATATCGTCGATGTAGCGTTTGTAGAGGAGCGGTACTAACGGAGAATCCTGCAGAAGCCTGGCCTCAACCGTATGCATGAATAGAATCGCAAATGGGGGTGCAAGATTGTTACCCATTGCAACCCCGTCCACTCTGTATAGAGGTGACATAACTCGCATCATTTTATTTTTTGGCGCTACACTCTGTGCAACGCCATTCACAGAGCACAATGCGCGCTACCTTCTGCTGCTTCTCCTCCGTGATGTGCTAGTTGCGCCTTTTCTCTCTCTCTGTCATACTAGGTGACATAATTCGCATCTTTTTTGGCGCTACACTCTGCGTATATACTGCTCTTGTGTGGCTTCCACGGTATTCATTGTTATTACCTGATGATGGCCAAGTGCCGAAACGTTGTAAAATAACGGAACTGGTTCGGATGTGATATGCAGCGCTATGGGAATGGGTGTGTCCACCCGAATTCTTTTCACAGACTATAGTTGGCCACCAAAGCATGCCTGCTACTGATTAGATTATGTGTACCCATTACATCATACACATAATCTCATCAGTAGCAGGCATGCTTTGGTGGCTGTTACATAATGCACTGTTACATCATACACTGTTACATCATACACTGTTACATCATACACTGTTACATCATACACTGAGGATGAAAGATTATGGTGTGGCCAGACCAATCAAAAACTGCTTCTGGCCGTCCTGATTGTAAATACAGTCAACTTTGCGTATAACGACTCTCGGCGGGGCATCAGAAAAGTGTCCTTATTCACGAAGTGTCCTTATACCCGAAGTCGCATTCTATGTACTTGGTCCGCGTCAGCAATATTGTCGCTTATCTTTCGACAATTTGAACTTAGACTTTGGACATGAACGCGTGCACTTGAAGTGATAAAACTTGGTACGATGGACGGTAAGGTATAGAATGACAACTAGCTGTAAGGAATTTATTGTCCAAGGAAGGGTTCCTACTTTTTTCGGTCCTCCTCGTCGCTGCTCTCGACGCTGGCGACATATATTTTTGCTCGGGATCGACTATCTTGCTTTTGCAAGCTCATCTCTCTACCTCTCCGCTGCCTGGCTATTATCTAAACAGAAGTTGATCGTGATGGTCGCCTTCTCTATAGGACTTCGCGTGGGCAGTACGACAGCCTGTGTGGTTCAAATCAGACGCCGTTCTTTGCAAGATTTTATTTTGAACGACGACGACGACGACGCGTACAGTACTTGCAAATCTCCACGATGCGCTGGATACTCCGAGCGTTGAGTTGGAGGTAAGGGAGCTGAGATCTCAGCTTGACGAGCGATCCCTGAGGTGAGCGATCTCGGCCGTTCAGCAAAATAGAGCTGATTCCGAGTAGCCGATTACTTTCTTGTGGCTTGCGCTGCTCTTGCCTGCACAGCGTAACAAGATAATCTATTTTGATGCGGCGCTGTATCAATCAGAATCACCCACCCGTCGCTCTCGAAATCCACTCGAACTGTAGCTAGACCTTTCAGGTACTAGTAAACTAACTTACTAACCAAAATTTGGGATGAAATGGGCTGCCAAGTGAACTTTGGCGACATATAAACAAAGCTGAAAGATAAGCGACAATATCGCTGACGCGGACCAAGTATTACAGTTAGATGGGACTTTGCTCTGGGCATGGAAATTCTGTCAGTATTCGCGAATTGCCATTATATCCGCAGTCGTTATTAGCGAAGTTGACTGTAGACCTTTCTTGTGTTGCCAACTCACATGTTTGGCTATCCAAGCGCCCCACACAAAGCTTACCAGGGTGTTTGCCCAAGGAACGATACTGTCGTGTCCGCGATGCAGATAGAATCACCACCACAGTGACTCCTTCCTGACTCCGTGACACCTGAACAGACAGAAAGGCGCACATCAACTCCTGCAACACACCAGGTGCTCCTCAAGACGCAATACAATCCTCTTATACCTCGGTTTAATATCCGGACCCGCAGGTTACGGGCACTTCGGTCTGCCGGGCACCCTTTCGGAAAGTTTCAGTGGAAATATTACTACTCTTTTGTCACTTTTTGTTGAAATAGTGACGTCACATGCCATATCTATGGCCATATCTATGGCCTTTCCCCGTCAAAATGTATGTGATTCGGATTTACGGACGTTTCGAAGTTATGGGCAGTGTCCGGTCCCGGTCCGCCGGGATAAAGTAGGTGTGAGTGTAGTTATGTACAGCGGCAAGGGATGGTTTTGACAATGAGAAAGGGAGCTCTGAGATACTTGTGCAGCCTTACCAACTGATATCGGGGACGGTGGCAGAACTGATGCGGTTCTTCAGGCCATAGCTGGACCAATTTTTCGCCACAAACATGTGTTTCCTGCTAAGGAGGGCATGTGTATCCACCATATCCTACACAACGCAGGGGAGAAACCAGGAGGGGTTCCAGGGGTTCCGCGGAACCCCTAAATTTCGTAAATGTACTACTGGCAACCATATGCGTGTCCACGTACATGTATCAGCTATTCAGTTTTGACTATACTGGAACCCCCCTGTACAGATCGCTGGATCCGCCGCTGCAACGTATGAAAGGCTATGGTATGGCCGGAGTGCCGGGCCAATCAAAGACTGCTTCCACCAGACCTGTTGTAAAACTATGCACCTGGAGGAGAGCGTACCCAATGCTGCAAATAAATTGTAGCTGTAGTGATCAATTGAATATACAAATGGAGCCTCCCCAAACTTACTCTCACAGCCACTCACGTCACGAGGACATTCAGACACTGGCAGTGTTCCAGTTGCGTTCACCGACGGGCTTTGCTTGCACTCCGAATAGAACACATCTGGGAAGCCACGAGACAGCTGAACAGTTTTACAAATGAACACAAAAAAGGAACGTTTTTAGAAGTTTTATTTTTGTACCCAGCAGGGTGCTAGCATGCTGGCAGTGATAGGGCGTTTGCAGCCTCGAAATAAATAAACTCTACCGTCCGATGAAAAATAATGGTATGGTCAACCAGCCAAGAAGATGCCCTGGTACCTACTGGATAGCAGGCTAATGAGCTGTGGACACTGATGTGCGAGTGTGCATGACATCCTGGAATGCACTGACATACCCCGCCAGTATCTACAGCTGTGCTCGGCGAAATCCGACCCAAAGTACATGTTTGGTGCCCTCAACTCGCACGGCCCTTGGCACCCTGGAAGCGGTACGAATACGGCGGGACGCACACATGTACACGTACAGTGATGTAATCGGAAACTGGTACAGATTTGCAGTGTAAGTCGGATTTTAGAGAGTGCAACTGTACATTGGACGAACTGGGTTAGGTGATCCTCAGTCATCAGTTATCTAGAACTGTATAGGGGTTGGACACCTAGTTCCACATTGGTGATCATGCAGCATGAGCACTGTGATCAGAGAATTTTAGATTTTCTTCTCCGGTCGAATTTTCCAGCCAAGAACCACTACTGAACACTGATTGGCTGAGGGCGGTTGACCAGCCAAGGGCGGTTGACCAGCCGAGGGCGGTTGACCAGCCAAACCAGCCGAGGGCGGTTGACCAGCCGAACCAGCCGAGGGCGGTTGACCAATCATTTCAGGTGTGAAGTTCAGAGCCAGGATAGCCTATCTTTTCTGGTAGGGGATGGTGGTCGGGGTTCGGGATGGCCAGAATTTTGGATTTTCTTGTTCCAATGGGATTTCGGTCTTTGACCACTTTGTGGTGGGTCTGATCTACTCACCTCCCACCGCTTAAGAACTGCATCTGCGCCTTGATCCAAGAGGGTGGTGGCGTTCCTGCGGATGCGGAAAACTGGGCCTTTGGCCGAGTCTCACGCGAACCGTGAAATTTTTTTTTTTTTTTTTTTTAAATTTGTTCCAATAGGATAGACTTACTCTTTCCTCCTGAACCTCCAGCAGCTGACAAATCACCTCCAAGTTTGGGCTCACTGCTCGACCGTGCACCAGTAGGGCATAGAGTGCGCTGGTGGTCTGACCACTGCCCCGTGTCATCCAGGTCTCAAGCGTACGCTCGCTGTCCGCCGTCACTGCGGTCGTCGACGCCAGTATTCCCGGCTGTGGTCCCTCCGAGAGCTTGAGCAGACCGGACAGCTGCGTTGTCGGAACGCCGGAGATGAGAGCTCGCAGCGTGTCACGCATGTCACGGGGCAGAAGGTGTACGTGCGTAGCCGGCATCAACAGAGTGTCCATGCCACTGTCAGTGAATGTGCCGCTCGGCGTCACCAGTGGCTTATTGCCGCAGGCGAGGGAGGAGTGTACGTATGCTACGCCGTAGGATTCCAGCACTGTATTTCTGGACTCAATTGTGAGCTGTAGTCGAATGGATGCTGGACTTAGGACGCGCTCCCCTTTGCCGCCGATCACGGCAGTTCCTGGACTATACAGCGAGACGGTCGCCAGGAATTTGGAGCGCAACAGATGCAGCAGACAGGCGGCGCTGTGTCGATCCTGTTCCGGCGCCACGGCAATGATGTACGCCGTGAGGTGCGTGGGCGCAAACACGACCGCGCCGCGTATGCCCGGACGCATAGCAAGCACAGAGACGCTGTTACGCTGCAGCTGTGCCCGCGTGTCGTGGAACACGTCAAAGTAGTCGTGCAGGTGGGTCTGCACTTGAACGACAGCTGCCGCCGAGAACGGTATCGAGTGCTCACAGTTGAACTCCAGCCCACAGCACACACTGTCGGGATCCACCATGCCGAGGCCGCCCAGCAAGGACGAAGCTTCGGGCAGGAATGCCGGTGCCATGATCTGATCTCGGTACGGTAGAAGCACGCCAAGCTGCCGTAACATGTTCAACAGGCAAGCACCATGGCTGCCTGTAGTCAGAGTGTCCAGGATGTGGATCACCTCAGCTGATGGAGCCAGTCCGTCACTGAAGACGACGTGCGGCAACGGGAAGTGCTGCGGCGAGAACACGATTCCGACGACATCTTGCAGCAGCCACGGCGGCTGATTCACCACAATATCGGACAAGGCACCACCGTGCTCAAAGGACACGACCTAAGGGGAAAGTACCCCAGGACACGGAAACAAACGCAAAACACCGCAGAGTCTGAAATATAGCACGGCTCCTCCTATAGAAGAATGCAATTAGCAAAGCAAGTTGCGTATTAACCACACACGCCATTAACAATATTGATACAGCACGCATTTTAATAGCGCATACTTTGAAGTATACAAATCAAATGAGGGTCACCCATCTGTCGAAAAACAACGCCCACCCAGTGCATTCTGTCCGAGGCAAGTTGCCACGCTTCCAAAAAGAGACATGTTGAGAAGTAGAAGAACATTCCTAATGTTCTCTACCCATCTGGTCAATCGGCGGCCTCTTCCCCATTGCCCCCCCCCCCCCAAATTGGGCAGGTTAAAATATTCTTTCAAGGAAGTTTAAAAAAACCGCTTTCCGTTGCCAACTAATCAGAGGATTCTACTGGTGAATGAAAATCAATTAAAATGCAATACAAATAGTTCCTGATGATGGCCATAAGGAAGCCAGATATTGATTAATCGAAGAAGGATAGATTTGCCATCACTGTGCATAAGAGTCATACTGTAGCTCAGTTGGCTAGAGCATTGCTCGCGAATAGCAAGGTCCCTGATCCGAGTCCCGGCGGTGTGACTGATGATTTTTTTCTTTCTTTCGTATCTGGCTTGCAAGTGTTGAGTTTCGGAGAGAAAAGAGCAGTGCGAGGCATGTGGCCACTAATTAATTTCCTAATACTTTGAACTTCTCCGTAAAGTCCAAATTTGAAATTTCAACAAGCAGTATAGTAAAACCAAAGGAGCTGAGGAGAAAAGGTACAAATGAACACATTTCCAGTCACAGGACAAGCAATACACTCCAACAGCTTTAGAGTGTTTATATTGCCATGTTGCTTGATTGACATGTTCCACTTCAAATCCTCTGACAAGGCGGCAACAAAAAACTTGGTTGCCCCCGGTAACGTTAAGGTTGTGTGCAAGAGTACATGAAAACCAGAGTGTGCAGCTTGGGGCCTTTTCTGCTATGGGTGTCTGTCACGGCGGAATTCCGTGATAACATCATTACATATTTGGCGCAGATCTGAGGCGGGATATGGCGTAGTGTGTACAACTGAGCTGCAGTTGTGCAGAAAGAGAACTGCATGAATCCTGCTTGTACGCACTGCATCACTAAAATGATGTAATCACGGAATTCCGCCGTGACAGCCACCCATCCGAGCTGCACACTCTGGTTTTCATGTACTCTTGTCGTGTGATGGAATCATGGATGAGCACCAGCTCTGTAAGGATCTAGACTGAAGGGAGTTCACTTGCCTTTCCATAAGCCGCGAGGATAGACACGTATTTATCAATCAGTGTAGAGCTCTCCTCCCGCTCGCCAGGAACCTCAACATCAATTTCATGGCACAACGCCTCCAGAAACTCCTGCTTGGTGGAGAACGGCCGGCCGAGGCGCTTGATGATCTTCTTCAACAGGCTCTGAGCTTGCCGAAGTAGCTTGGGTTGCGGAGATTGGTCCTGCAGGTGTGTACGGGCAATCAGTTCAAGATAACATCCATAAGCGGCTATGGGAGTTGACAGTTATGGCAGCATTTATCCTTGCTCCAAGATTCCCTTGACCATGATTCTGCCTAAAAACTTCAGTATAGCGTACATTCAAGGGTCAAACAATCGAGGTAAACACGCAGTGGACAGAATGGAGCTTAATTCTTTGCGTGAACTCCGGGTTTCAACCCGGAGACCAATCATCAGACAACAATCATCAGACAACAATAATGTCTGGCCCGCTCTGCATTGCGACATTGAGCATTGTCATAGCAACAATGGCTGACTGTGTGTCGCCATGGTGACCAAAGTGCTCTTTTCCAGAAGCCAAACAACTGGAGGAAAGGACATGTTGAGTCACCAATAGTATATTATGTACTTTACATTCAATGGCAAGAGAAAAAAATGTGTTATTGGTGGGTGCAAGTACCGTACTCGCGCGACTAGAGCCCTCTCTTGAATATTACCCCATCTCGAATAGTGCCTCAGTCTCTAAGAGCCAGTGAAAAATAAAGACCTCTCTGGAATAGTGCCCCCCCCCCCCCCCCCGAGCTCGTAACCAAGCGCATGTGCAAGTTTGCAGTTTTTTGCCTATGTTCTTGTCCATGTCATTGCACTGGTGGTTTCAGGATCAAAATCGCAGGTCTTGTTGCACTTTCTGTTGAGTCGTGATAGTTAACAGTACACTTTAGGCTCTGTTTTTCTTTGCCTTCTTTGTTTTTATGCTGAATGACGTGAATTTACCAGCATTGAAAAAATAGTGCCCTCTCTTCAATAGTGCCCCTTCTGTGTTGGAAGAAGGGCTGAGGCTTCCTGCAGCTTCATCTGTGAAAGGAATCCGGGTGGACACACCCATTCCCATAGCGCTGCACATCTGAACCAGTTCCGTTATTTTACAACATTTCTGCACTTGGCCATCGTCATCTTTGTTGGACATTGAAAGGTAGTACACTAATCGCGCGAGTAAGGAAAGTATATTAGTATCTAGAGTGCGGATGCAAGTTTTTGCGCTCCGCGGTCGAGTTTGTTTCACCGGTGTAGCTGCCTTCGACAGGACCGCACCTACACTGATTTGTTCTAGTGTTGATGTATGACTCAATAATATGGCGACTAACGAAGATATGGACTTAGCTCTGCTGACATACGAGGAGCTGCTCACAGTTGCCCGAGCTACAGGACTGACCAACCCGGAGACAATGGGCCGACAAGACTTGGTCGTTGCCCTTCGCAAGGAAGGACTAGGAATACGGAAGTCACCAGACCAAATGGTAAGCGACCTGCTCTCCACTTTCCAGCTGCTTAACGAGACTATAAAAGGTATGGCTTCAGAAATAGAATGTCTTCGAACGAGCAAGACAGACGCCATTGTCTCCTTGCAAGTAGAAGTTGCTCAACTGAAGGGAGTAGTAGAGAGAATGCAGTCCACAAATCCCGTACCCGTAGCGTCCCCAGCTGGCACTGACCAAGAGAAATTGTACAGTAGCACTGCAAGGAAAGCTGCCTCACCAACAGGCACACACACCAGCACGGACGGTAGTACACGTACTACTACAAGAAGTAGTACCCCAACGGCCAGACCTGACCTGCCCGCCAAACCTCAAACGCAAGATACAAGCACAAGCGACAATGGGTGGCAAAACCCACACCGCCGCCGCCCTGCACAAGCCGACGCCAACACTACCAGTAGTCCACTGAAACGCACTATCACAAGCCAGTTCACAAAAGAGCCAGCCCGTACCAAACGCACTGACCTTCAGGGCGTGGAGCGGGTGAAGCGCACGGCTTTCTACCTTGGCAATGTAGACCTTGGATGCGATGCTGCCTCAATTGAACTGTGGTGTAAAAAGAAAGATGTCGAAGTTTTTCACTGCTCAATCTCAGAATCACGGTACTTTGGTACAGCTTATGCCCACCTGGTTGTGGGAGAGAACTGTGTAGACAAGATCCAAGGGCCTGACTTCTGGCCTGACAAAATTAGTATCCGGAAATCGAGGTTCCACACTGACCAGACTGAATCTGAACAATGAGTAAACCAACACCTCAACTTGACCCTAACGCAACACCCTTCTATCCTTCAACGCCCCTAGCCTCCTTTCCCGTAGCCTGCATCAATGCATGTTCCCTTAGAAACAAATCTGCTGAGCTATCTGACTTTCTCACGACCAACTGTCCCCTTGTTGTTTGCATAACTGAAACCTGGTTGTGTCCACAAATTTCCCTCTCCTTCCCAGGCTATGAATGTTTTCGAAGGGATCGACCCACCTCCGAGAATAAAATTAACACCAACGACTTCCTGGCCTATGGCGGTGTTGCTATCTTAGTAAAATCAAGTGCATTTGGTCCTATTACCCACCGTACAGACCTACATCTTCCGCAATTCGAAGCTACCTGGGTAGAGATATCGCCATCCACTGGAACCTTTGCTTGCCCCACGCGCCAGCAGCCCATCCAAATTGCGGCTGTCTACCGCCCACCGTCTACCGACCCGTCGGTGATAGATAACTTTTACGCCTCATTTCAAAGCTGCTTGACTAAAATACGGACCCCTGGCTCGCCAGTCCTCATCATGGGAGATTTCAATGCTAAATGTTCCACCTGGTATGGAACAACAACAGACACTGCAGACCACCACCTTTCATGTCTTCTTGACATGTTTTCCTTGCAGCAACACGTCACATTCTCGACCCACCGCTCCCACAAAGGCAATGAGGCTGCTCTGGACCTGATGATCACTGACACTGCAGCCAGCATCTGCGATCCGCGCCCCTCAGCCCCTGTCGGTCAGTCGGACCACTCAATTGTTCTCGGCCGTTTGTGCATCCCGACATGTACCGCATCACCACCTGCACCCAACACTACACTGCCCTCCCATTCCTTCCAGATACCTGACTTCAGTCAGTTTGACATCTCCTCCATTCTTCCCACTCACCTAGTTGCTCTAAATGAATCCATTGCTATTGTGAACTGGCATGCTGCTCTCCAGTTGAAGCTTGGAGATCCAAACCGTACTGCTCCAGCATTTTATGACATCCTTCATGGTCTATGCTCCGCTTTCCTACCCACCCGGTCGCGCTCTTCAGCCCCTAGACGACGTACACCAAGTCCCCCGTGGCTGACACGTGCTGTTAAAGCTCAGCTGAAGAGGAAGCGAGACTCGTACAGCTTGTATCGCAAGTATCCTACCCCTAGCAATCACGAGCATTACAAGTGCGAACGTAACAGAGCACGAATCCTATCTAGAGAGGCTCACCGCCAGTATGTGTCCTCCATTAGCACTAACCCCTCATCCATTATTGCATCCACCCCTAGTTTTAAAATCTTGTAGGACGCATCACGCAGCTTCATAAGTAAAAAATTGGTTGTGAGCAACACTGGCTCACACTCAAATAACTGCTTTTCACCAGAAAAATATTATATTTCAACGTTTCGGTCATGAAATAACCATCATCAGGAATGAAGTGGGCACACCGGTTAGGATGGGTTAATATACGAGGAGCGCTGCAAACTGATAACAAATCACACCTGCATGCACTATGACGAGAGAGAGAACAAAAGAACAAAACATCACCAAAAAAAACCCAGGTATAGAAATAACGCAATACGCGACAACTCTAAATATGGCACAGGTACAAGCAACAAACAGAATGTACATGTGCACTAGGTGCGTGCAGACATGTAATTGCAGGCGCTAGCAACAACAGTAGTAGTAGTAACAGTGCACTAGTTCAAGGGGTGCAAAACCACCACCATCCAGGAAGAGCGAGTATCAGGGCCAGAAATATGCACAAGGCCTCACCAGAGAATTCACAGGAGGTCCCACCCTGCGTTATTGTTTATGCTGGGGCTCATGTCGCGAATTTGTATTGCTTCGCGTATTCTCCTCCTGGCCCGATCCGACTCCGTGGCAAGGACGCGAACCTCTGTGAATGCCGACTCGCCAAGCGGCAGTACCTCGCCGCCATGGTGAAGTCGGTAGTGCTCGCCCAGGGCTTTTCCAGACGTCTTGTTGCGTGAGTTATCATTGTGTTCTTTTGTTCGCGTTGCTACACTGCGGCCAGTCTCTCCAACATATTTCTCCGAGCACTTGCAGGTCAGACAATAAACCACGTTGCGTCTTGTGCATTCTACCTCGCTCGATTGGCATGCAACTTCAAGCGCGAGGTCATGAATATCTACCGAACAGCGTCAGCTCCCCGGCCTAACATGTCTCGAAAAGACCGCGAGCGGCTTACCGACCTCCGCGACGATGATTCCGTGGTCGTCAAGAGGTCCGACAAGAGCAATAAGTTTGTGGCGATGAAGATGGCAACGTACCTTGATAAGGCCGAGACTATCCTGTCAGATGAGACAAAGTTCACACCCGTCAATGTCACCATCGATGATTGGGAGAAGCAAACGCGCACCATCCTTCAACGCGTCTGTGGTGGTACACTAGAGAAGGACCTGTACCAAGCCATACTCCCTGGCGACAACAGGTTTCCGGAGATGTATGGCCTACCTAAAGACCACAAAGCCACGGTACCGCTTCGGCCAGTTGTGTCAGCTGTTGATAGCCCGGTGACCAATATTTCTATCGTCCTGGAGCGTATACTCAACCAATGCCTGAAGTATGTCCCAGCACATCTGAAAAACACGCTGGAAGCACTGGAGGATATCCGGCAAGTGTATCCCGACCTACAAGCCCCAGCAGGGACCATCATCGTTACAATGGACGTGGTCGCTCTTTACCCAAGTATCCCTATCGCTGAAGGGGTGGAGGCGGTTGCTAGAGTCCTGCAGCAGCACATCGAGTCTGTTGACACATTTGGTTTAAGCGTGGAGCAGATCGAAGAGCTGTTAACCTTCGTTCTAAGATCCAATTATTTCAGATTTGGTGAGAAGGTCTACCACCAGAGGGAAGGCATCGCCATGGGTAACAACCTAGCGCCCCCGTTTGCGATTATCTTCATGCATGACCTCGAAACCTCGCTGTTGCTTAACTCGCCTGGTGCTCCCGTACTCTACAAGCGTTATATTGATGACATCATTATGCTGTGGACACTGGGGGCCGCGCTTCTCCGCCAGCTGATTGCATTCTTCAATACCGCCAATGCGAGCATCAAGTTCACGTATCAATCTTCGGAGGAAACTGGGTCGGTTGACTTTATGGACACGACTATTCATGTCTCCTCCGAGGGCGCAATATCATTCGAGCTGTTCCGCAAAGCTTGCCACAGTGGCCTCGTCTCAGACTTCAACTCGTGCGTTCCGCAACAGCAAAAACTCGCCATCGCGTCTTCGGAATTCCTCCGCGCGGCCCGCCTTTCCTCTGATCCTGCAGCCCGCCAGCGAAGTGAGCAAAAGGTTATTGACACATTAAAATTCAACAACTTTCCTGACAAAGTTATCGCGACTGCTCATGAACGAGCCAGACGACCTGCTAAACAAAAGAAAGACTATCGATCCACGTTGAAGTTACCATTCAAAACGGATGCCATCCACTACAGGGTCCACCGTCTTCTAAACAAATACAATCTAAATGTACAGATAATCTACAAGAATGCAAGGCTTTCCAACAGCGTCACTAAGTCCAGCCTCACTGGACCTTGCTGCCTTAAGTGGGTGGATCCCGCTGCCCCGAGGCGACGAGGAAGGCCTAAAGCCGCCTGCGTTGCATGCCAATCGAGCGAGGTAGAATGCACAAGACGCAACGTGGTTTATCGTCTGACCTGCAAGTGCTCGGAGAAGTATGTTGGAGAGACTGGCCGCAGTGTAGCAACGCGAACAAAAGAACACAATGATAACTCACGCAACAAGACGTCTGGAAAAGCCCTGGGCGAGCACTACCGACTTCACCATGGCGGCGAGGTACTGCCGCTTGGCGAGTCGGCATTCACAGAGGTTCGCGTCCTTGCCACTGAGTCGGATCGGGCCAGGAGGAGAATACGCGAAGCAATACAAATTCGCGACACGAGCCCCAGCATAAACAATAACGCAGGGTGGGACCTCCTGTGAATTCTCTGGTGAGGCCTTGTGCATATTTCTGGCCCTGATACTCGCTCTTCCTGGATGGTGGTGGTTTTGCACCCCTTGAACTAGTGCACTGTTACTACTACTACTGTTGTTGCTAGCGCCTGCAATTACATGTCTGCACGCACCTAGTGCACATGTACATTCTGTTTGTTGCTTGTACCTGTGCCATATTTAGAGTTGTCGCGTATTGCGTTATTTCTATACCTGGGTTTTTTTTGGTGATGTTTTGTTCTTTTGTTCTCTCTCTCGTCATAGTGCATGCAGGTGTGATTTGTTATCAGTTAGCAGCGCTCCTCGTATATTAACCCATCCTAACCGGTGTGCCCACTTCATTCCTGATGATGGTTATTTCATGACCGAAACGTTGAAATATAATATTTTTCTGGTGAAAAGCAGTTATTTGAGTGTGAGCCAGTGTTGCTCACAACCAATTTTTCACCCCTAGTTTGTTCAAGTTTGTTAAGCAGCTTCGTTCGCCGACCCCTGTTGGAAACCCTATCATCACTGAACTCCATGAAAAAAACACTGTACACAACGACCCTACCCAGATTGCCAATGCTCTGAATCGCCAATTCATCAGCTTTGGAACACCAGATGATCCTGCATGGTCTCTTCCTGGTATTCCATACCACGGGCTCCCAGCACTACCCTCTTTTAGCACTACTCCCGCCGCCATTGCCCAACACATCCGTCGCCTAAAGCTCAAGAAAGCGGCAGGTGCAGATGGCATATCCCATGAACTCCTAAAAGCCCTGTCTCCTAGTATAGCTATCCCTCTCAGCCTAGTTTTCAACCAGTCCTTCGCCACCGGAATCTTCCCTGATGTCTAGAAGGCAGCTGTGGTTGTGCCTATTTACAAGAATAAAGACAGTAAACTGTCTGCATCCAATTATCGGCCGATTTCACTCCTTTCCACTATTTCAAAGCTCTGTGAACGTGTGGCATTTGGCCACTTATACCAACATGTGAACCCGGTCCTTGATCCGTCACAGTCTGGATTTCGGCGAGGCGATTTGACCGCCTGGCAGTTGCTGAGGCTTGTGCAGAAGCTCTATGAATGCAAGGATCAGAAGCAATTTAGCCTCCTATGTTTTTTTGACCTGAGCAAAGCATTTGACACTGTCTGGACAAGGGGTCTCCTCCATAAGTTAGCAGCGTTTGGCGTGGCCGGGACGTGTCTGCAGTGGCTCACCAGCTATCTCACTGAACGTCGACAGAGTGTCCGAATTGGACATGCCCTGTCCGCCCCTCTAACAGTCCCCTCTGGAGTGCCCCAGGGCTCTATCTTGGGGCCTCTATTGTTCATCGTATACGTTAATGATTTGGCAGGTTTGGATCATACCTCACTCTACGCGGACGATAAAGCGCTCCATATAACCGAGCCAGGATAATTACAAGCCTGCGACTCGCTACAGTATCACATTAATCAAGTTGTGCGCTGGATGTCGAAGTGGAAACTCCGCCCCAATGTGTCGAAAATGGCAATCCTTTGTATCCCCCCACGACCCTCCAGTGACCTCACCCTCTTTACGACTCGGCTTTTTACTTTCCCTGATGATCCCATTGCTATCAACATCGTTAAAAATCACAAACACCTTGGTATATTTCTTGATGAACACTTGTCCTGGGATTCGCACGTAACCTATATTGAAAAGCGAGTTTGCTGCGTGATAGGCTGCATTTCTCCTCACATCTCCCATCTACACCATGGTTGTCGAATACAAATTTATCACTCTTATGTTCTTCCTTTGTTTGATTACTGCTCTCTCGTTTGGTCCTCCGGTCTATCCTCCGCTCTTATGCATCGGTTAGAAGTCACCCACCGTAAATTACTTCGATTAATATTTCGCATGCCCCCTCTGACCTCCTCTCAGACGCTATACATTTTGGCTTCCTCTTCCCCTCTCTCAGAACGCTTTCCCCACTCGGCATGCAAATTCATTCACCGTATTAAGCTTCAACTTGCTCCTCCTCATGCACTTGCGCATTTAAGCTGGTTCAATAATAGCTCGCGTACTAGATGTTCTCTCCATTTCCCACTTGCCAGATCATCGATCCTTTTAAAATCCCCTCTGTTCAAGTCCTATTCTCATTGGTCTCGGCTTCCGCAGGAGGTAAAGTCTCATGACACCTTCGCTGCATTTTGTTCCATTCTGCCCGCGCCTAAGTCGAATTGAATTGAGTTCGTTGTTTTCCATTGCTAGCCTAATCTTCATACTGCTCTCTCCAGGTTCCTAAAGTACTTCTTTTGTTTTGTTTTCTTTTCTCTTTTTGTCTCCTTCTTTTCTCAGTTGTCCCCACCATGGCTGGTTAAAATCGCCCGCATCACATGCTTATTTGCACTATGTCATCGTGATTGTGGAATAATAATAATAATAATAATAAAATAATAATGGTATGTGTAAGTGTGGCCCAAAGATCAAAGGTCAAAGGTCAAGAGTACGGGTGGGATGCATGCATATGCGCATGTGTATTCCTCGCACAATAGTACTTCACTTACTTTCCTTTGCAGTAATTTATTTAATTAATAATAATAAGTGCTCGTTTTCATTTACCCCGTTTGATATCAGAAGGATTTTGCCTCCATTGGCTGAACATTCCTGCCACACACACACAGCCACTGACTTGGCAAGTTAGTAGTCGAAAATTTACCTTCAGCAATTGAACCACAAGCTGTCGAAAATCCTCACGGAATTTGCTCATCTTCTTTGAGCCCGCAGAGCGAGCGTCCAGACACACAAATATCCTCAGCGACAAGAAACCTTTGAAGACTCTTAGCGATCTGCACACCGTTTCATAGACCAGCTGCTCACTCTGCCGCCTGACTTTGTCACCTCTCGTGGCGACTACAATGATGGGATGTGATTCTGCATCCAACACAGAGACAAACACAGCACGTTCCAGAATAATCAGAAGTAATATGCATACAGCAACATACAGATATCGTCTGATGATCGCCTTGTGTGTGAAACCCGGAGTTACAAAGAACTCTTCATTCTCTTCTTCTTTTTGTTAACATACAGATAGATTAGCCTTGCCAAAAGATCAAGCTTGAGCTCACATTACTCTACTGGAAGACACTTAGCTCGTTACTCAACAAAGAGACTGGCTGGACACGGCTAACAGACGCGGGGAGCTCATATTCGAGTTACGTCATTACCGGTACAGATATACATGTACATGTGCACATACGTACCTTGTACCTGTATACATACGTATACATAATATTATTCTGTTGTATATACACACATACACACATACACACATACACACATACACACATACACACATACACACATACACACATACACACATACACACATACGCACATACACACATACACACATACACACATACACACATACACACATACGCACCCCCCCCCCCCCCCCCCACACACACACACACCATGTACCATGTACCATGTATACGCCCGTCGCAAGAGAAGCACGCAAATCTGCAAATGCACTGGATGTGCACCCACAGATTTTCTTTTATAGCAACGATAGTGAACAAGATCTGAATGAGACAGATCAAAACTTGCGCCAGATAACTGTCTAATCCACCCAACTGGCGAAGCCATGTGAATCGACCATCAATGTACACCTGGTCTACACCACACGGAGTACATCGGCATGAAACGGCCAAGACAGTTACCTATGCACACCCTGCACTTGCTGGGGTAACCAGTATAGACAGCACGCTGCTTTGATAGAAGCTGACACTAGATGGTGCCCCCCCCCCCACACACACACGCACACACACACGCAAGCACGCACACAGGAACTCGTGGATTCCTGATTGTGTCCAATGCTCACAGCAGAAGGTGGAATCTGCAGAGCCCGTCCCACAGACATCAGAAGCAACTACCATACCAAGTAAAGTCTGACCTGATAGTGTTATGGAGTCCTGATGCACACACACGCACGCGCGCGCACGCACGCACGCACACACACACACACACACACCCTTG